CAAGAAGTACGCCGATCGAGAAACGATTGAAAACCCAGGACTTTTTTTGTATCGTCGCGCACACTTGTGGTACACTTTCGCAACTGCGAGACACGCCTCGCGCACACCAGCACAAAAAGGGCTCGAACATGCATCCGACCACTCGAGATCCGAGCGCCATAACGGACTGCTATCCGGAACTGCAGTATTACGCCATTAGTCAAGGTTCGAACGAGTCGGCGAGGGAGCAGTCGTCGAGCCAACAACTCGTGCAGTTGCCGTCGATGCAACAGCAGCAGCAGACGCAGCAACAGCAGCAGCAGCAGCAGCAGCATCGTCAACTCGGCGAAACGAACGAAAGCAGCAGCAATATGTTGGGCAGCACTCCTCAGCAGCCGCGCCACTTGCATCCCATACCGATCTGTCGAAATTCGGCGCTCATCAGTCCGCACCAGCTGCAGGAGATACTGCCGGGCAGCGTGTTCGCCGAGCATCCCTCGATGGGCCATTATCATTACCACATAATACCCAGCCGAAGGCAATTGCCGCCCGAGCCGATGCCCAGGACTATCAGCAGACTGGATCATCAGCAGCAGCAACAGCAGCAGCAGCAGCAACAACAACAACAACAGCCGCATTACGAGACGACGAGGCAACTACCTCAGCCGAGGACTCTGAGGCCCGCCCGACCAATCGGATTCGACCAGTTCGCCAGTGGGAATAAGGACGGCGGCAGCGGAAGGCCGCAATCGACGGCGACCGTCACGTCCACGACGACGACGAGCGCCTACAACAATTACGACAGATATTCGCACATTCACGGGCGCGACAGCGGCAACAAGAAGATCTCGAGCTTCGGCGAGATGATGAACAAAAACAGTATGCCGCTCGTCGAGCTGCAGAGCGATACGCAGGTGAGGGTGAGAGATTATCATTGTATTATACTCAAATGATTATTAACGACTCGTTGCACATCGGGTCAATACGAAACGACGACGATAATAGGTACTTGGGCGTGGGATCGATCGGTTCGCGCGGTATACGCACCCACTGACTTATGTTTTGTTAAGGATTTCTCAAAGGAGAATTTCCCATCGACCGAACTTTCATTCAATAGAGTTAAAAAAAAGTTATGGAAATCGATCGTCGCCTCGACTGGCCGCGACATACGTGTAGTGCACGAGTACAATGATCTTTTATAATATCCGTATAGCCGATCGTTGTCATCATTCTGAAAGGCATCGCAGATCGCCCGCTTAATAATAATGCGTATATGCACCCATGACGCGCGGTAGATTGCAATATTTTTCTTTTTTTTCCGGATGGCCGAAGCCCACTGCTATTTCGATCGCGACGTCTATAATATACATAAAGAAAGGAAGAAAAAAAGGTAGATCCTTCTTTATTTGTCGGGATCTCATCGGTGCGTCGCGCGCGCACGCACCACCGAGCCACATGTGGCTTTTATATATACATAATGTAACTACTACTGCACGGCTCTCTTTTTCTCTCTCGCTCGTATTATTATGTGTATATAGATCATCCGGGCATAACGCACGGCAGTGGCGACTCGTATATAAATGCGCATTGTGCTGTTACACATATATAGGTATGCGTCGATGAGAAAATTCGGAATGCTCGCCTTCCCCTGTAATTCGAGCTTTTATGTGCATTTCTATATGCGTGTATATCTGTATGTGACGCGACGATCGTTTGATTATTGTCTGCGTTATAAAATATACGTGTATCGTAAGGGCGCGGCACAATTTCGATGGTGTGTGACACACATTATATATTTCGGATATATATCGACGCCGCCTCGAAAAAAAAAATTTTCGAAAAATTATTGTATCGTTTTTGAGGGGACAAAGGAAATTCGTCGTCGATGACCGATCGACACGCGCAAAAGTGGCGTATATACAAGACGCAGACAAATACCTGTTGGATCTTCCTGTTTTTCGTGCTCGACAAACCGTACTACACGTGTCAAATTGATACGCGGAGACAACACTTTTATGTTTCCGGAATTTTCGTAGCTGTCTGATCGCTAATTCTATCGCGCGTAGATTCTAACCGAGCATTCAAAGAATACACAGGCGACCCTCGTTTTACGCGGATTATTTTTACACGATTTCAATTATACGCGGTCTATCTATGAACCTATCGCTTTCGTATTTTTCAGACTGAATCTTGAATCATTTTTATATTTTCTAAGCTCAATATTGTAAACATTGTAAATAGCCTAATAAACATCATGGCTTTCTGTTGTGATGTTATTATTAGGTGATAGGCGCTGTCTCTGTAAGATTTTGATCCACCGATCAGCCGATATTTACGCTTTCGAGCGTGAGAGTTTTCCCGATTTCTTCACTCAGTGCAGTCGGTTGTTTAGTTACTTTATGCGTAATGCCTCTCAAAAGAAGAAATAGTTCTTTTGGTCAAACCACGTCCAAAAAGAGGAGAAAAGTCTTGGACTGCTCGGATAACGTAAAAGTATTGGATTTACGGCGAAGTGGTGATCGAGATAGTCCCGTTGCAGATCAATATGAAGACAACGCATCGACTGTACGCACAATTTGAGTGACTGATTTTTTTTTATTAAAACAACAGTAAAATATAATGTCAGAGCGGCCATTTTTCATCATTCTCGTGGCTTTACTTGTACGCATCTTTCTGATCTCTATAAGGATAATGATTTTTTACGCGGTATTTTTTTTCGCGCATCCACTGCGTAAAACGAGAGAAACCTGTATACTTTTCCCGTTGTCATAGATGTACGTAAAAATATTTTGGTTTCTCGAAAATCCACGGAACGTCGAGGGTCCGGGGCGCCACTCGATTCTGAAAATAAAGCAAAGCCCGATTGTGTACCATGCTCACGGCGCGTGGCGTATTTACATAAAATAGACAAATTAGCATGAAAATTAACGATGCCATACATCTCCACCATTGTCATACATCCAGATCACAGACAGCTCGCTCTACATCGTTCTAATTTTAATTCTCTGTATTATATTATTTGTTCTTGTTTGCTTTCATGAACGACAGAACACGATAGCCAGCAGCAAGGGCAAGCAGTGCCAGTGTCACGCCATCGCCCAGCAGCACATGCGCATGAAGCGCGAGGCCTCGGACACGGGCTCGAGCATCGTTACCGATCATCACGGCTCCTCGATACAGGAGCGAACGGGAGGCGGTGGTGGCTCCGCGGCGCAGCAGCCACCGGCGCTGCCGCCGAGACCACCGCCGCGGCCGTCCGGACGACGCTACGAGGTCACACCGCCCGAGACCAACAACGAGCGCAACAGTGAGTTTTCGGCACATAATTGTCTCTCTACGATCCTTGCTCATTCTCTCCATGCTCGCTTCGTTTAGCCTTTTGTTGCGAATTTAAGCTCGTTTATTGTACGAGGAATGTTTTTCTATCAAACCCTAGGTTGAATCATTTTGTACATCAGTTAATATAGGGGGCGGTTGAGGGAGAAAGAAACGTACGTCGAGTTTCGAGAACCAATATTATCGGTATGAAAGGACCATTTTCGTGAGAACGCAGCCACGTCATTTTTCCGCGATTATACTGATAATCGCACACGCACAATGGACGTTTATTGTCACGTCCTCCTCTCCCTCGCGAACAATATTAAGACGCTAAATCTCAATTGAATTCACGGCATAGGTTCGGTATACACGCGGGTATATTATTATCAATACATTATTTATCTCAAGAAATGTCAAGCCCGCAGATTCGAGTCTGCTGCATAAACCTATATCATAACGTGTATAATTTAATCAATGGGTTCACACGATCTGCGGCGTGGCGTATATGCAAGAGAAGTCGTTGTCGTCGTCGTCGTCGTCGTCGCTGTCGTCGCAGATTCCCTCGAGCCTCGAGAGAGAATCTCTCCATTCTTAAAGGACATTCGAGAAGTTATATACACTAAACGAGCATACGTGCAGCAGCATTGGTTTCCCATGACTCAGGCCGCGCCGCCGCCACAGACTCAGTGATTAATATTGATATTAGGCCTTTATATGCCCGTTTGGATCATGTGCGCGTAGAGAATTATGCTAATGCCAGTGTATAGTTGAAGAGCAGCTGCCTCGCACGGTGGTCGTTCGAAAATTTATCGCTTTTTAATAGTTACAGAAGATTATGTGTACATAAATGCGTTAACAGGCTTAGTTGCCGACTGTGCGCCTAGCAACATTTATTTATATTTAATAAATAAAATCGACGATGTAATAAAGCGAATACGATTATTAAAATCGATCGACTTTAACTTTTAAACTCTCGCGCGCGCGCTCAAATTTATAGCCACGAGCGCGTTACGAGATTAGTATGCGATGTGTCGATCGGATAAGCTAATCGAGCGGGACTAATCCGATTGCTGCAGCCGCCGAAGTCGACTGGGAACGCGCGGCGCTTGCGGAGCTTTCATTAATACGTCAATTCGCTCGTTCGTTCGCGCGCATGGCGCACGTTAATTTAAATACATGCACGCGCGACTGCTTCTCGCTACATGTACTATATATATATCTACATCTTTCCAATGACAACACGCGCGTTGTGCGGCCTTGCGATAAGCTCCTGCGTAATAGCATCTCCCTATCTGCGCGCCTATACGCTATCGCTGCTGCTGCTGCTGCTTCACGGCCGTGGAAATCCTAGCTGCGATCCCTCGACTGTCGATAGTCGCCCCAGCTTATGTATCAACCAAGGGTACGTCCTCGTGGTGCAGCAGCAAGTGCGTCGGCGCAAGCGCAACTACCACCGCGCCTTTAACTCGAGAGGTGCGTTGCCAACCCACCACCACTACTGCCACCAGCAGCAAGCACCAAAGAGAGAGAGAGAGAGAGAGAGAGAGTGAGGCTGCGGGGGGGATGAATTTATCGAGCTGCAAGATACGCGACGCAAAGAGAGAGAGCTGCTACTGCTGGTGGTCTGCTATAATACTCCGGGCCGAGTTGCGTCGACGTCGATTATCCTTGGAGTTTTCGTCTCGCTTTAGCCTTGCGTATGTGTGTTTGTGTGTATACGGACGGACGAAAACGCTGACGTTCGTGCGTTTGTGTCCGTGTCACGGACGCGCGCGCTCGCGTAATGCGAGGAACAGGTGAAGCGTGTGTCGTCGCGGCGAAGCCGCGGACAGACTGCAGTCCGTCGGTGTATTGGTGCCGCGAGCAGTAGCAGCATCAGCGACTGGCAGGACTCGCTCGGCTTGCAGCGCGATATATCATCGTCATCAGCGAATCGAGCTAATCGAGCCGCGAGGAGCTTTTTTTCGTTGAGACGCACCTTGAGTCAGGATAAGTAAATAGCACGGAAACTGAACGAGTGACAATCGTTCGTTTGCGTGAGTGCATGTGTGTTTGTGTGCCGAAAGTGCCCCCATGCTCAGCACTCGAGAGATTATCATCGTTGAATACCAATGAATATCATTAGCAGCCGACGATGACACGCAACGAGGCCCAGTCTAATCAGTGCTCCCGGAGATTCCGCAGAAGCTCTTTGCGTGCATCGACGGACGGGTGATATCTCTCGCTCCGTATCGATCATTAGTCTCGACGAGAACGAGTGCATAATCGAAAGTGGTCATTGGATGTAAAATTTCGAGCGATGAAGAGGATCGAAGCAATAGAGCAAATCAACGAAAACACCGCAAAACGAGATATTCAACGAAAATACCGCCCGTGACAGTGCAATATATACGTGCGGCGTTTTGACAAAAGTATAATATATCTGTCTTTCGCTCGCGGCCCAGAGAGCTTTTATTTTCCGCATAAGCACGTGTGTGTGTGCGCGTTTGACGGTGTGTCGTCTACGTATATACATGCGAGCGACGAAGAAAGCTGTACTCGAGCTTTAAACAGAGAGAGATAGACAATATATATATATAGCAGAAAACAAAGCCTCGACGACCGACAACGACAACGAAAACAACAACAAACAATAAGAGCCGCGAAGAATCGCTCCATTGCACAATGAGCCCCCGACTGCTGCAGACTATCTCTCTGGCGCGCAGAGAGCCTCTCTCTGTACATGAATCGAACAGTACACGAGAACTATAGACAGTGTATACACGAAAAGAGGAAGTCAAAGAGGGACAGACAGGGGAAAACCAATAGAGCAAAGTGCGAACGCATCATCGAATATCGAAGAGCGACCGACACTCCAGCTTATCATAATAATAATAATAAATAGCAAATCGATGCAACCGCCACCGCCGCCGCTGCTGCTCAGGTGCCGTCTTAAAGCTACTCGAGCTTTTGGATTGACATAAGCTCCCGAGCATCGTATAAATACGGTCGATATATAGACACACACACGCGTAGCTGCTGATATCATGGACCGTGGCTTTCCGATACTGCACATAGTGCGTTGCCGCTTCGGCGGTGCCGCTGGCGCTGGCGCCACTACTGGTGGTGGTGGTGGTGTTGGAATAGCAGCTACATCAGCTGAAGCAGCTATGCAGCAACATCAGAATCAGCTGCAGCAGCAGCAGCAGCAGCCACCACCGCCGCAGCCGCAACCGGTAGCCGTCGTCGATCCCGCTTACGAGGTTTATCATCACGCGGTGGCGCAGCCGCCGCCGAGCTATCATCCCTTCGCCGCCGCCGCTGCAGCCCATCATCATCATCATCATCACGCGGCCGCCGCCGCCGCTGCCGCAGCTGGCTTTCTCAGACCCGCGACCATCGCCGCGGCCAGATGCGCTCATCACACTTGCGGTAATACCTCTTATATGACGTATTATTGGTCCCCCTCCGCGCGCGTAAGATAGAGACGCTTCTTGGATGCGTATATCGTACATAGGTATTGCGTGCAGCGAGTGTTTTATTGTCGTTGTTTTTCTTACGCATCTCACGGATTCACCTTCGCTCGAATAGACGCGGATAATACCCGTAGCGCGCGCCGTAGTTTTCTCATACGCTTAAGTGCCCGCGCCGCGCGAGAACTACGTAATTGCTTTAGGAATTTTGCGAGCTACGCCTGCGAACATCAGCGCGCAAACAACAAACTGTTGATCCCCGCGCGCGCTTCTCTCCAACCCATATATATAGTAGCGCGTAGTCCCGTCAAAAACTTCCTCGAAGCGTGGAGGAGAGGACGACGTGCTGCTGCTGCAGTAGTGCGAAAAGTTTTCCTCGAAATTAACTAGAGTGGATGCTTCTATATACCTATGCATAGCATGAGAGCATAGCGTAGCTCAGGCAGATTGTGCTGCATGATGGTCCATGTGTGGAGGCTGCTTTTGAGAGAAAGAGAGAGAGCCGTACTTCTCTTTTGAATGCTGCTGTCTGATGCTTCGCGTTTATTATCAAATATTTACCCAACGTGACTGGAAAAAAGCATATATGCTTTTCGAATTTCGCGACGGACGAATATGTGGATAGGATTGCCGATAAACGCTCGATTCTATACATACATATTTTTCCATTCTCAAATTTTTATCATCGAATATTGATGGAGCAAAAATGGAGGGAAAAAAATAACAATAACGAGCGAAGGAAGGAGCTGGGGAGGTAGGGTACTGGGAGGGGAAAAAATGAACGGCTCTCGACGGGTCGATGAATAATACTTTTTCGATGTACATATCCTCTCTCTCTCTCTCTCTCTCTCTCGAAACGCGAGCGCGCGATGCATATGATATTGGAAACCAATAACCACTTCCCGTAGCAATTTGAAGAGAAAAAAAATCATCGTTTTCTCTCGCTCGCTCTGCGCTCGCGGGAGCGTCATTATATACGCAAACGAGAATCCGCATACTTTTCTTGCGCGCGTTCTACCCATTTTGAGAGAGAATCTCTCGAGCCGCCCTACGCTGTCGGCGATAAAATAAAACTGTACATAAATTCCTAAATATAAAACTTTAGCGCGCGCTTTAGAGAGAGGAGGAATTACGTTGCGGCTTCAGTGTTCGCAAACAAATTCGGTATTTATACAAGTCAAAAGCTGCGCCTCGTGCCTCTCGAAGCATCTGAAGCCTCTGCTCGAACTTACTATAGTAGTTTGCATATAATACGCGTAGCCGATGCCGCGCGTCAGCACGTTGTGAATTAAAAACTGATCGCAAATAGCTCGAATAGAATCGAAAGCTCTAACAATGTGTAAAGAACAGAGAGAGAGCTCGAGAGATGCAGAGATTTTTTCTTTTTCTTGCTTTTTTTTGTCAAGATGAAAAATATATATTTCCGTCAAGACGAAGACGACCACCTGTTTTTTTCATTCCTCGGTCGTAGAGTCGTCGCCGTAGTCGTAGTCGTCGCGTCGCGCGTATTATAGTCCCGCGCGCAATAATTTACGAGTTTTCTCACGCATCTAGTCACCTGCGATTTGAAAAATACCTGCATTATAACAGAACGTGTATTACACGTACACGCGCATTTTGTATATCTGTATATGCACAATAATGTACACACACCGCATGTGAATTTAGGCTTGAGAAAAACCTGCTCACGTTCTTTGACGTTTTGCGCTTAGCGCGGCTCTTAACGACTGCACAGAGATCTGTACGCGCGCCGGTGCGATGGGGAAATCTTTTTGTCAAGTTTATACATTTTCAGCACAAAAAAAAAAAAAATAAATAAACGAAAAGTAGAAGACGAAAAAAAACTACTATCCAAGATGCGCGCCTAAAGCTAAGTCGCTGCTTGTAACTTTTTTTTTATTCATGCTACAATAAATCCCGAAGGATTTTCTTATTTATGAGGGTGGCTAATATAATACAGCTCTGCGGCAACAGGGTGAATAGTGCGAGCGTAGGCACACATATACATATACATAAAGTAAAAGCGAATCCGTCAGTGCGAGAGCATTTTATTTTATTTTATTTTTTTTTTTATATATATATATTTTTTTTCGGAGACAACTGCAGACAAAAGCCCTTTTCCATTTCTACTTCCAGCATAGCCGTATGGTAGTAGTAATGGCGCACAATATGTTTACCTTTCTCTACACTCTTCGTGCATGATATGTGCGCACAGGCACTCTAGCTCGCGCTGGCGTACATAAGCCTCGATTTTCTTTGTATATCGCATCGACTCATTGTTCGTCCTGCGGAGAGAGAAGATGAAAGATGAAAAGGGACGAGAAGAGAGAGAGAGAGAGGCTGAGCGATAGATGTATATGTGCGTGTGTGTGTGTGTTTAATATACACTGAAGAGATGCGTATACACGTGCGCGCGCGATCATATAAGAAGCTTTTCCCTTGCGCACATTTATGTATGACGAATAAATCGCTATGGTTATTTTTTTTTTTTTTATTTTGTAAAAGGAATAGATGTTGCCTATGTGCCCCGGAGTCGTACTACGCGCACGTTTTTAACGTGCAGCGGCACACACCGGCAAGTTTAATTTAACGATTCGTTTCGGAGAAGTTTACCATAGTCGAAATGAAAAAAAAAACTAGCATGAATGCAAAACTCCATGTGCCTCTCGCGCCGGGTTATATTGTGCGCTCTCGGCATAATAAGGACGGCCATAAAAATCTATTAACTATTCGGGAGCCTCGGCGCGATCGAGATCTGCCTAGATTTTCTATGTACGTGCTGAATATTTATTAGTGCAGTGCTCCGAGTAAAAGGAGTCGAGTGTATACAACGAGGACCTATGGGAGTCACGAATTTTTTAACGAGGCGCGCGAAGATTTTAGTTTCAACGGGCTGACCACGTAACAGCTTCGAAAGTGTTACGTTCATCTCGATGCCGTGAAAATTTCACTATCCAATTTTATTTCCTCTCCGCAATAAATCCTCGATACATAAAAAAAAGGAAAGATAGTTAAATTGTCTTCTCTATTTTCTTATCTTTCAGGACACGTGGGCAACGGAGACGGCGCGAACGCCTGCTGCAAGAAGTACGTGGTGCTGTGCTGCCTGTGCGGCGGTCTCAGCGCCGCCGTGGGCAGCCTCTTCCTGGCCGTTCACGCGGTCCTCTCGGCCCACACGGCCAGTCTGGCTCTCTTCGAGACGGTGCCGTCCTACATACCCGGCACAATGGTAAGTTTGCTTTGATTTTTTTTTTAAATCTCTATCTAGACTGCGCCGATATCGCTTTCACCGCACGTTTCATTCGAATCAATTATATTTTCGTGCAATAAGTTTGGTTTAGCGTCTGTTTCTGGAGAGAAAAAACAATTTGCATAAATTGAATTTGAATTCGGCCATCGCTGCTAAAATGACCGAGACTTTGGTTGTGCCTTTTTTCGGGGATAGAAATCGTCATTTGAATATCAAACGAGCTACTTCGAATGCAGCAGTTAGTAGTGCTAACGCAGCGATTCTGCGCGCGCGCGGCATAATTTATGCGAAAATTCCTATCTTAACAAGGCTCAAATACAGTAATACGATTCTTTGAAATAAAAGGACTAAGCGAAAAATGTTTCTTTTTTCTTTTCATCTTCTCTTTCCTGCGCTTTTTGCTGCTGTTGCTGCTGCTGCCATTCTGTCCGTTCGACAGCTGATACTCATCGGCCTGGTCACGATGCTGTTGGCGAGGCGCAAATATCGATACGGATTTTTGGTGAGTATATCGTGCATCGCACGCGCAAAAATATTACAGTATAATAATAAGAGGCTGCTTGACCATGGGCAACCGAAAAAACCATGTACATAAGTGTGTCTCTGTCCTCTGCCTTATATGTCAGTAAACATGTCTCTCTTATGCTTGCTCTTTTTTTCTTTGTCCTTTTTTTCTCTTATGTTTCTCCTCGTCATCGACTCGTCGTCGTCGTCGTCGTAAAATGCAGATGAAGGTTTGCGGCTCGGTGAGCGTCGTCTGCGCATTGGTCTGCGTCCTCGTAACCGTCACCACAACTGTCGTCCACATGTCGCGACTGCAGGGCCTTCGACAGTGCCTCTACACGGCTAGGGCCAAGTAAGTCTCTCTCTCTCTCGTTTATGTTATGAACTTTCTTTCGTTTGTCAAATTCACGCATTTATGAGTAAGTATATGCTGTATATCGATGACTCGCGTGACGAAAAAGAAAAAGAAGACTCTGCCGTGTGATAATTCAATGAACTGATGCACACGAGCATTTAATTTCGGTGTGAAAAAGTTTACTGACACCAACCGCGTGCGGTGTACGCAGATAATATAAAAGTGCTAAAACTGCAACGGACATACATATGTTTCCTAGAACGCACGAAAATGTATCCCGACACGTTTCTCTTTCTTCTCTCTCTCTCTCCAACCAGCCCGGTTTAGCATTACGAAAAGTCGTCTGAAATTCGATCCCGCGAGATAAGCTTGAATTGAACTCGGAGAAACGTCGAAAAAAAAATTTACACGCACCAGAAGGATGTCCGTCTTAAGATTTTTCTCGTTCACGATATATAATATAAACGGCACATGTTTAATTCGCTCGACATAATAATAATAAAGATCGTCGTAGTGTACACGTGTATTATATTTTCGTCGCAGAGTCTCAAGTATACATACACTCATAAATGCCTCGTGCCTTCGTGTATGTGTATATGTATATAATATGAACCAGCGAGTCAAGAGGCATTTTAATTAGACCTAGATACCTTAAGCGGCTTGTTCCGCTGTTGAATGTTAATTATGCATCGCATTATAAATACGAAGTTTTATATGCACGCGTCTTTAGCCCGAATCAATATTCTAAATGCACTTTTTGCATTATAAAGCCGAATTAAATGAGCGCAAGCGAAGCAAATAATACACACTCGGTAATAAAATAATGAAAAAATTAAATGAAATCGCGCTCGAGCGGTTGCCGAAATTTCGTTCGTAAGCTCTTATTAATCTCCGACTAACTTTTTAATGAGGAAGCTTACTCGGCAACCGAACTGTACGAGTGAACTTTTTCATTCCTTCGTGCTCTTTTTATTTTTTTAACGAACTGAAATAATCTAGTTATAAAGTAAGTGGAGTTCTAATGCGCAAAAAAATAAGCGTGACGTCACACGTTATATAATACAATAAATATATATTAACGAAAAATTGTCGCCCCATTTTCCGGCAATCCTCGCAGATCGTGCACGTGCTTCGGGCCCCAGCAATCGCCTAGCACGGACGCCGGCGTGCTGTTCGAGGGCACGCCGCACTGCGACGCCGTGCACGGCGCGCTCTACGCCTGTCTGCGGGCGCTGTTCGGCGTCTCGGTCGCCGGCATCCTCGCCTGCATATTCTCCTGCATGCTCGTCTACCAGCTGCTGAGCCACGAGAAGAAGAAGATGTACTGGGAGCAGCTGGAGCTGCGCTGCCGCTCGCTCTACGGCCAGGGACCCGGTGGCGGTGGCCTCGTCGGGGCCCGGGCCGCCGGCACCTGCGGATGCTGCAACGACTGCGGTGGCATCGGGCCCTGGTGGGCCCAGAGCCCCGGAAACTTGTACACGCCGAATCCTGATCTCACCCCAGCCAGGTCAGTTATTCTTTTCGTTATGATTTTTGCGCTTTCGTTTCGTTCGATTGATATTTTCTTTGAATATATCCAAAAAAGTATAAAATAAGCTATCCAATATAACTTAAAAAAATCGATAGTGCATATTCCACACGATTAAAAATTTAACACTTATTATGATCGAAATTTTGACAAGCTCGAGTTCGATCAAATTTTCCGCTTGCTCAATTTATTATTTACTTCGACAGCATCTGCTTGAAAATATTAGACTATAACCGATATAAAAGTCTATCGAATTCGAAACTTTTAGTGCACTTTCGATCAGCTATTTTTAAAAATATGACGTCAATCGTGACTTTTAGACGCGCGAAACATCATTTGTCAAAGCATACGCTATCTTCGAGATACAATCTATTAAACTCGAACTCGATATCGAAGTTTCTATTCTACGGGCTATTACGATCTTCGAGATGCTTTAACGAATGAACATATCCGTCGATCAAAAATGATAAATAGCAAAAATAACGCATAGTATACATTAAGTCCGTTAAACTATTTTTTTTACCATCTATTCCTGTCAATTTTGTAGAGCTCCAATAAAATAAGCCAAAAAATTTGCGTTAAAATATCAATGGTTGTTTCATTCTTTTAATAGAAGGTGGCGGCTACCGTGGACGCGTAGCCGGGGCCCAGCCCCGAGCACCGACACGAACTACGGCTTCAACCATCATCATCCGGCCGGTGGCAGCCTGTCTCAGGTCGGCGGCGTTTTAGCTTCGACCGCGGGCGTCGTGCACCATCACCAGCAGCAGCAACAGCAGCACCAACAGCAGCACCAACAGCAGCATCAGCTCGGCAACGACTCCGCCATCGTCCCGTACGGCATCATGGGCCATCATCCGCATCACGGCATTGGCCAGCCGGCCAGCGCGTACTCGATGCTGCAGGCTCAGGCGGGCCACCACGAGGACGTCTACGGCCAGGGCAGCGGCTCCGGACCCTACAGCGTGCTCGACTCGGCGGTGCCGCTGTGGGGCCCGCCGCCTCCCTACAGTGACCCCAATAGCCCGGCGCGGAGACCCATGATGGCCTTCACGACGATGGATCCGCGAAACAGGATCGGTAAGAGGATCGGCGACGAAGTAGTACAGTTCGTAAACGGTTAGTGTGGTTTTCTATCTACGCATTTGTTCTCGAGGTTTATGGATTTACCGAAAAAAAAAAAGGAAAACCACACTATGAGAATTAAAACGCATTTTTCTGCTTTAATTTTTGTAATTCAAGAAATGATCTCTATCTAACGTGAATATTGATTTCCAGTGGATTACGGCAGAACGTCGGAGATCAAGCGAGCAACGAGCAACTACGAGAACGCGGAGCAGGTGTCGAGCGACAACAATCCGGCCGACTCGGAAATCATGAGCGCCAACAACATCAGCAACGCGGTCAGCTCGACCGGCGTCAACGCGGGCAATAATAATAACAATGCTGCCAACAACAACGGTAGCGAGGAGCAGCAACGAGGCACGACAGGGTCAACGACGGCTACGACGACGACGACCACGACGACGGCGATGTCAACGTCGGCTCTGCGCGGCAGCAGTCACAAAAAGTCGCTGAAAGGCGTCGAGAACGCCGGCTTCACTCTGGCGCAGGAGCCGCCGAGCAGTGGAGCGGTGCTCCCGTCGTCGCTCACGGCAAGCAAACTGCAGCAGCAGCAACAACAGCAAACCGAGAGCGAGCTCTATTTCGGGGACGTCTCCTCGTGCTGCGGACCGGAAAGCGGCCTTTACGACGTCGCTACCGAAAAAGACGGTGAGACGACGACTCGTGTGTATTATTATTGTACGTTAGTGTATGTGAGTGAGTGAGTGCCTATATGTGCTTTGCGCCGGGGAATCGCCGCGAGCCGCAGCACAGAGGCGAATGTTTGCTCAGCGCGATCGCGTCAAAACATCGCGCAGAGAGGCCTTTAATGCTCTCTCGAGAGCTTTGCACGATATTGCTTTGTCGCCCGGCTTTTATCGACATTGTACACAACGACCGAGTTTGTTGTGTGTACCCCTTTCGTCTCGCTGGAAATAAATCGTTCAAAATCTTTTTTTTTTACTACTGCTACTTGTATTACGGCGACGCGTCAACGTACGTTTCGCCTGACATACGTTATGACTTTTTCCGAAAACCAAACGTTCGGGTTTTTATTACTCTTTCTTTTTAAAACAACACCTCACTGAATCGCTTCGAGCGCCAAAGTACTTTTTACGAGAACAACATTTTTATTTCTATTCGAGCGATCGTCAACGGTAGTCGATTCTTTTCTCTCTTATATATCAAAATAGTAATTATTTTTTATTTTATTGCAGGCAAAATCGAAACGGAAGCTGGCACGAGCAATCATCCGAGCGCGCAATTTCCCAAGAGGCCATCATCGAGCAAACGCTCGCGACGGCATCATCATAATCATCACCATCATCAGCCACAGCCTTCGCCCGATCACAATAATTCGAGCGGCTCGTCGTCGGCGGCGAGCGACGAAGCCATAGTCGCGTTCTCACGGCACAACGACTTAACGAGCGCCGAAGTCGACTACGAGGTCATACGTCAGCAGCAGCAGCAGCGTCGCTACGATTACGAGCAGCGACAACAATCCTCGAATCAAAATGTCTCGGTCGTCTCGGTCGAATCGAGCCCCGAGGCGAGGGACGAAGGTGACGGTGCTCGAGGCCGAGGAGAGAGCATCAACGACGTGGAGCAGAGAATCTAAAGGCTCGAAATGGCAAAGATTATAATGCGAAAGCCATATGACGACTGCGATAGAAATTAAGGAGCGAATGGGACGTGGCTGAATGTGTCGAAAGCGTTTTTGGATGAGGGGTCAATTTAGAGCGATCGAACTCGTACTTGTGAATTTTAACTTATTTAAATTGCAGTGATTTAATTGTTTATCGAATAATTTTAATAAATTGTTACAACAATTATGGTACGTAATGCGCTCTTCGTATGAGTAAGATGTGAAAAAAACTTTAAACTTTGTATAAACCATATGCTTCGTTTAGACTAGTTACTTTTATGTGCTATCACACATAATATTTTAATGTACGTACAATTCTAAAGTGTTGAGATATTTGAATAACTATATTAGTTAGTTAAAAATTTTAAATGATTGCCATGACAGAATCTTTGAAACGACTGCTTGATTTTAGAATTGAAATTTTACCAGTACGCTCGTTTTAAGAAAATTCATCATTTCTTTTTATGATTTAGAAAAATTTTAGCAAGTTTTTTGCATTGTAGACGACATGTAAATTTGTATTTTATATTTATAATGGTATTCTTTGTCTATTTCTATTGTACTATAGATTTTTATAATTTTTTGACTATACCGGTTGTATCTATACACTAGAATCCACTAGGAAAAATCAACTCTTAAATTAAATTAAATCTATAGTCTACATCATTGAAATAAAATTTTTATGCTAAGTGAAGTAAGATTATCTTATAAATCATGTAAACTTTATTTTAATTTTGTAAAATTTTTGTTCCTAATATATTTTACGCAGTAACATTTTAGTCATTATTTTGATTTAATATTATACCTCTCATTTTTGCTATCATTGAATGAAATTTTTCATAACAGTGAAACTGTAATTTCAGTGTGACTTGAAAAATTGATATGGAAAAAAAAGTTTTTGTAGAAAATGAATACACCCTGATTAGAAGTATTCCTTGTATAATGAATGGATACATGAATGTAGTTCAATCAATTTAGTGTAAATGTTCATACATTTTCAAGTATGAACAAAAAAATGATTTCTAAATATCTGCCTAGAAAAAATTGTTATGAAATATATTTTGAAAAAAAATTATAATGATATTTTTCATAGGCATTTTGATTACTCCAAACACTCAAGCATAGTAACTCTTGTACGACTTTACTATGAAGTCTTCTTATTCAAATAAAACAAAATTTTTCACGGATTGGGGCGACTCAACTAAATTACTGGGAAAACAGAATTTTGGACTAGAGTATAATATACAACAGAAGTAATATAAAATGCCAATCATTATTTAATAGGATATTTCCTTATAAATTAATAAGTGTAGTCACCCGATAGAATATATTTCTACAAAAGCAAAAAGTTTACTGTCAAAATTCAGCAAGCTTGCAATCTAAGAACTCTAAAAACCAAGCTATTAAGTGTAAACCTTAGAATAATATAGCGAAATTTATGATCTTACAAAATATAAGGTCGTATCGTAGCAAAATTGAATAAATAGTTACAGCCTTCACTGGTTTTTCAAGGCTTTAATTATAGATCATTAATCAATAGCGCGAAGTATTTCATTAGAATCATCATCGGACCAAGACAATACACATTAATAATAGGGAAAATGGTCAAGCACATGATTATTTGATATATTGTTATAACATGGTGTAGTATAAATTACACCATGGCTGAAATAACGTAACGCTGAAGTGAAAAATTAGATGTAAATCGAAAAACAGGAGGGTATGGTGATGTAGACGTTAATGATTTTGTACGCCGAATATTTAAATTACGATCATAAACTCACGTTAGATGAACCTGCTATTCGATTGTACCGTAATTTGAAAATTCATTTTCTGGTTGATGAAACAATAACGGTCAAAATGCACAAAGACTGTCAAGTTGAATATTTCAACTGGATTTGTAATCGTTACGATTGCAAATGATCGAGATTCTTAAAGCACTTTGTGGATCAACATGTTAATTCTGAAAATGAATTTTTTTTCATCTAATCCACATTGATTCACTGTTCTCATTTGTTAAACATGTGTCAAATTTGAATGTTAAACAAAATGATGTTATGTGACAGTATTTGTAGAAGTAATGTAAAGACATTAGAAACAAAAAAAAATCGTTCAAACTGTACACAGTAAAAGACCTTGTAGTCGTTAAAAGGCGATTCTTAGCGCAAACCCTGTAGATAGCTAAAATGTTTCAAAACGTTGATTTTTTTGTATTAACATTATGAAAATTCTTTGGAGAGCTATCGGTACGCCGCACATTAAATCTAAGTGAGTATAAGGTATATACAAGATGTTCAATGAAAATTCACTATTATCAAAAATGATATTACTTTAAGGAAAGCAACATTTCTTTGTAATAGTGCTTATTACTAATGATAAAATAAAGTTGTTTTTTACATACATACATATTCTGCTGGTCGAAGACTTAAAAAATCATATAGTTTATCATTTTTAATCAGAAGATATTTATCAATTAATAAAAATAGTTTTATTTGGTTGACCCGCGCTGTATTAGAAATTTTTTAACTTTAAATGCTATATTTTTTGTGAAGCACGGTACATCTCGCACTCGTCACTTTGTCTTCAGAATTTATTAATTTCAATTCTTCACGTTTCGTTCATTCATTCCTAATTTCAATACCTCGGCAAAAAATGTCGCTCACGCAGACACGGATACGTGTCGAAAGCTCTCATCGATACAGTGTCACGCCGTTGTCCTCATTGTTTACCTTTTTCATCTGTCCACGCGCCAAGTAAATTTATTCATTTTTTTCCTTCCCCCAAAAAATCGATAAATCAAAGATCTAAAGCCTCGCCGAAAAAAGTCGATAAAATTACGAAAAATGCTCTGCGACCACCGTGAATCTTTCATCCATGGTCTGTCACCGGATCTCGACTGACGCACGCGACGAATTGTCATATACCCAACAAAATAACAATGATCAAAACTTCAAAGGCAGAAGTCATCCTCCGGATCTTCGACCGCTTCGAATGATTCGCGAGGCAAAACGAGTAATTATTATGATTATTGTATAGTCGTAGAATTGCATCTACACATAAGAGCAAAGAACGTACAAATGGTAATAATAAGCGCGCGCGGCTGTTGACGCACACAAAAGGACAAGAACTCCGGAGCGGAAGAGACGTCGAATTATAAATGCTCGTACGAGTCTGTGTATGTATATACACGCCACTATACTTATCTATATATATAAAGCAGAATCGACGTCTGTTTGTATTTTATGTTCTTAAAAACTACCCGTCCGATCGTTTTGAAATTTTTACCATACATTCATTATACCACTGGAAAGGTTTCTATGATCTTAGAATACGTTATTACTTTTTGGTTCTTGAGTTTTGAATTTTTTTCGTTTTTTACCACTTCGCACTCACTCACCCGCTCCCCCGCACTCATCGCTCATCGCTCATTGGTGATATTCCACAATTATTAAAAAAGTTAATCTAGAATTCTTCAGTTTAATCGTTTAAATGGCTTTGTTTACGTTTCCCTTTTATACGTTTCGTTGTCGTACGATGAACGTTGCTTACTTCAAATCTTCTGTCATTCCTAATTGTGAATCATACCCTCATTTTATTAATTTTATATTTTATAAATATTCTCCTACTCCTTACAAATTTAACGTGAGCGAAGCCACGACGGGTATCGCTAGTTAATATATATTCTCAAGTTCACTCGAGCAATCGTGTGCGATGCACAAGTAGCGAAAGTCACAGTCGCGCGCGGAGATTTTATAAATGGCTGTTAAAAGGGATCGCGTCGTCAGACGCTCGAGGAGGCGCTTCGTTTCGTATGAATGTGCAGTACTTTAAGATACGCACGACAAATCAAAATATTTAAGTCGAGAAAAGTAATCGCTTTGCTTTGTTTTGCACGTTATAATTATATTGCGACGAACAAATTGTTTCTGCCAAATTTCTTGAAATATGATAAATTGTTACATTTTTAGTAAGTAATTGAAGAGATCGGGACATATAGATTTGAACAATTAATAAAGAGATAAATCTTTCTGGTAACTTAAAAATTATCACTTCATAAATCGAGATGGACTTTTGCCAGATGCTTGAAGCGCGTGATGAGTTTCCACCAATACTTCTCTCTCGAAACCACGCTCGATCGTTTCTCGACTTTTTAACACGTTATTATTTAAAAGTAGTGATCTAATATAGAGTAATTTTGCTTCTTTCATGAAAAAGCTCTGTGATAGACCCAAAAATAGTATATTTCTCGACTTCGCCTCGGCTGATAAATTCCACGTGTTCTGGGACTTTCCAGTTTTTCACTCCCTAGATGGAAATACAGTTTTTTTTGTGAAACCCCCAGCCTTAAATAATATTTTGATCATGCTCGGCGAGAGCAAAATGTTACTTTAGTTTAGGGCGCGTAAAAGATTCTTGATTAATTCTTGATTAATTCTTGATTAAACATAGAATTTTTTGATTTCTTCGAAATTAAAAAAAATTGTTTTGTTTTTTAATTTTTTAAAATGGTTGTTGTAATTTTTTGGAACATTGGCGTGCTTGTTGTGAAAAAAAAAGTTTTAATTCTAGATTTGTTTATAAGGATTCATAAATTATTTTGAAGATAACATGCTGAAAATAAAAATTTTTTTTATTTTAATTTTTCAAAATTATATTTTGCCTTTCACAGGGTTGAAATGGTTTTTGAAAAATTTACAGGATTCTTATTTTACATAAATAAGATGAAATACATTTTTAGATTAAAGTTTTTTTGCCAATGGATTAATAGTAGCTATTTTTAAAATATTGTACACTTGACTAAATTTCATTATTTGAGTCATGCAATTTCAAATGATTTAATTAAGATATTACTTAAATTTAATAAAATTGACCAATTACTTATTAATAACTTATGTGTAATTTATATTCCACGATTCTACATCTCTGTGATTTAATAATTGTTTTATGTTCTTATTATGAACAGTTTATTTAAATATTTTTTAAAACTGATGAAACTTATTTTTGGATAGAATTTTTTAAATTTATTTTACATTATACAATATTTCCTCCTAAACAACACAATAATTATGTTCATTCTTTTAAGAACCAAATCAATGTGGAAATTCAATTTGATTCTTATTGGAAGGGTTAAGTAATAAGTTTATGTACTGAATTGATATGAGTATTGAAGTTATATTTTTGTGAAAATGTCTTTTAAAGTTCATTGCAATTCTGAGCTTCTCGACCATTATGCGCTGAATCAATGTGCAACTTGAAAGAACCTTTGCTTTTAAATGTCTTTCCACACCTATAGCATTGGTGATTGATACGCTTATGTACAGAATCAATATGAGTGTTTAGATTACCCTTTTGTGAAAATATCTTTCCGCATATATCACAGTTGAAAGCATTCAGATTATTATGCACAGAATCAATATGTTTTTTTAGATTACCCTTTTGTGAAAATGTCTTTCCACATGTGTGACATGGATAATAAATTCGATTATGTACTGAATCAATATGGACTTTGAGATAACCTTTTTGTGAAAATGTCTTTTCGCATACGTGACAATTGAAAGAATTTTGATTATTATGCACTGAATCAATATGGGTTTTCAGATAACCTTTATGTGAAAATGTCTTTCCACACGTGCGACATGGATGATTGATACGAATATGTACTGAATCAACATGGATTTTCAGATTACATTTTTGTGAAAATGTCTTTTCGCATACGTGACAGTTGAAAGTATTCAGATTATTATGCACTGAATCGATATGGGTTTTCAGATAACCCTTTTGTGTAAATGTCTTTCCGCACGTGTGACATGGAAAATTGATACGATTATGCACTGAATCAATATGGTTTTTTAGATTATCCTTTCGTGAAAATGCCTTTTCACATACATCACAGTTGAAAGGTTTCAGATTATTATGCACTGAATCAATATGGCGTTTCAGATTACTTTTGAATGGGAATGACTTTCCGCATATTTCACAGTCATGAGGTTTTTCACCATTATGCAAAGAATCAATGTGTCCTTTCAGATAGTTTTCTCCTTCAAATAAGCTTCCGCAAATGTTACATGGGTAATTATTGCGATTATGGACCGAATCAATATGATTTTTTATAACACTTTCTGTAGACTTGTTAGTTTCATTCAAATGAAAATAAGTTTTTATATTCTTTTCATTGAGTTTGCAATTAGTTTTAATCAAAGTACCGCCAAAGAACTCTTTTTTTACCATGCTCTTAGGTTTTATTTTAAGTATGGCATTAGTGGCAAAATTATCGCTAACTTTTATATCTTGATACTGATGAAACCGATCGTTTACATTGGGTGTCTCATTTTTGCACTCAAACTCTATTTTAATTTCGTGATCAGGTTGAAATGTATGAGCTTCTTCGTTCACTTTATCCGATACTAGTACATTTAAATCGGGCTTTACATCTTCGCACTCAAATTCTGCTTTTATTTCGTGGTTAGGTTGATGGTGATAAAATTCTTCATTCAACTTATCAGATACTAATGAATTCACATGAAATTTAAAATCTTTGCACTCAAACTCTGCTTCAATTTCGTGATTTGGTTGATATTCATGAATTTCCTCACGTTGTTCAAGCGTGTCAATCTATTATGAAATCGAAATTGAATTTAATAAATATTATAAAAATTTTGTTAAAAAACGAACTTGTCAATTAATTGAAGTCTTAAATCAACTTACTATATTTTCCTGTAGACATCTAAGGTACTGCAAATTTTTGGTTTCGGATGTTTCGTATATTGTTTTACCATTATAATTTTCATTATAGCACATATCATTAGTCTCTTCTTTGACTCGGAAAGTACCGATAAAATTAAAAACTACAATACACTTACTTATCTTGTTACTTTAATTTGTCCATTGCTAATTGTTGACTTCTGCACTGGCCTGCATTTTGTTTAATTTAAAATTAGTCTATGACCGATTTCACTCTCTTATACTACCCTCATACTACTAACCTTCTATAAATCAGATCTAATCAGAATTAATAAATGTTACAAATTATGTGATCGAATTTTTGTCGAGACCACGTGAGCAAAGGAGATAACTAAGAAATTCAAGTGCTCGAAGTGTTTACAAATATTGAACAGCATCATTACCAGCAGATGAAGTCAAGTACAAGGTGGTAGGAATTTTATCTCAGTACAGACGTAATGCACATGGGCGGGGCGAAATAGTCAAGAGTGGTATTTGATATATTTAAATTGTACTCACTTCAGAAAAAAATCACAAGTACGCGTGCATTAGAAAAAACATTGTATGGAAAACCATAAGAACGCGATAAAAATGTTGTCGAAAAAATCCTTTTACCTTATGGCATAAACCATGAAATTATTTTGAACACTTCTGAATACCAACTAAGAGAGTATCCCTGCATGCCGATAATACAGGGTACTACGCAATTAATTAAAAATACGATTATTCATAATTATTGTTTTTTTCTTGGATAATGCACGGAATTGTATGAAAGTTGACTGTAATGTTGATGAATAAATCTTTACTTATTTTCGCTCAATTATTAATGAAATTAATACTTTTTCTATAAAAATCAAGTAACTGTTCTTCTTTTCAATGTTATCACTGTCCAGTGGACAGTGTCCAAGTATAATTTTACTTTCATCGGACTTATAGAAGGACAATGTTTTATTTTATTAATTAGTAAACTTATTATTACTATTGGATTGAATAGCTTTTTTGAAGTACTTTGCTAAAGTATTAGCATGTTGAATTTACCAACGTAACTATCCGTGTGAAAAAAAAGAAACGATGTATCCGTAATCGTGCAAAATAACTGGCTGACGAACAAAAAATAAAAAAAAGGTACCACACTAGAGTAATTCGTCGAAAATAGGATAGAGCAGCTGTATACATCATAGAAACCTCGAGTACACCATTTATAATACACTCGTTACAAATCAGCGAAAAACCGGAACGCATGTACGTATACGTATGATGCATTAAATTCGAGGCGTGGATATACAATGCACCCCCATGCTTCGGAGCGGAACTATTTCTTTCGACGCATTTGCACAAAGAAGTCGGTTGCGCGCGGCGCAGCAAACCCTTACCTTATTCCTACGTACATGCCTTAACCGACACGCGTCACGGGCGCCGAGGTGCGCTCAACGCATACATATATACGGGGCACGCGTCCCATACTACTTTGGTAGAAGAGCTACTGCACACGAACTGCAATGCACCGATGATCGTTTCATATTGTACAGCAGATGTTGCAACGAGCTGGGCACGCGATGAGCAAATGCCTTGAGTATAGAATATGTATGTACGTGGGGTTGGGCGCGCACCTTCGTAGCGACGCATTGTATCGGACGAAAATCGCCAGCTGCTGCTGGATCCGTCGCGGAGGAGAGAAAATCGCTCAATGAATATATTGCGGAAAAGTCAAGGCTTATGTGATCGTGCATTGAATCATCGTTTGAGAGTCAAAAACAAAAATCCTCCTACGCTCGATACGACGCTCGTTTGTATTTTTAGAGATTAACGACCTTTGACGAGCGCGCGTACGCCTAATATATAACTTCTTCCCTATGATACTTCTTTTTTTTCTTTTTTGACATTTAACCGTTGCCGTGCCGATGATATGATTTTTTTTTTTTTGAGAGAGAGAGAAGAAGAAGATGAAAAAGAGAGAAAGAGAATCAAGCGCCATGTGTGTTGTCGTCGATTTAAATTATAGTATCCCAGTAGGCTGAATAGCACGAGGAGCAATTTATATTATAAACACGCGAGTTCAAATTTATCACGCCGAGAATAAGCAAAATCGATAATCAGCCTGCGGCTTAGTTTTATTTTTATTGTTGTTTTTTTTTACTACGTGGGTCGTTGACTTTGATTTCGAGACTGCGCTTTGATACATGGGTCAAAAAAGAGAATACTCATCGAAGATAATCGATCACTTCGACGCTCGACCGTTTTTCTTGCTTTGTTTGCACACTTCGGTGTACCAAAAGTTTGAAGTTCACGAGCGACGTTTGCTTGTTTTTGAGATAAATTCACAAATGTCACGAGCATTTAATACATATATAAGTTACGATGTACAGACCTTGGATGTAGCAGTTCTCGCCTAACGCAGCTCGACGCGATATCATGTGTAGTTTACCCGTCCGTTTTATTCCTTCGTCTCATTTGCTATATCGGCAGAGAGAGAACGAACGAGAGGAAAGATCGCCGCATTGCAAGAGAGCGAGGAGCTGCAAAGTGATGGGCAACACATGCGTCTTTCATGCGAATTTCTTCTTCATCTTCTCCTTCGTCGTCTTTTTTTTCGCTTTCGCGTCGATCGTCGGGCAAACGGATTTATCGCAAAAACAGAACACCCTTTTAAGAGGCTCTTATTCACACTTGGCCTGATAAATACACTCGCGATGCACATATCATACACTCACACACACATACTCGCACAGTTTTGTAACACATCTTCGTCGAACGTTGACTGACGGTTTTTGCGTGGGATTTCTCAGACGCGGAATGCGCGGTGGCTAATCAATCCTAATTTTCTGTCCCACTTTTTTGTTTCGTTTTTTTCAAGTACTTACGAACGTCCGCTTCCATTTCGACACTTTTTCAAAAAAGGTTTAACGAATGAAAACGATTAATCAACACTGCGACCGTTAAAAATGTTTAGGTTATCGACGTTTATCCACTCATCGAATACTAATTGGAAAAATTGAAAAACGGAGCAACCTTGCAATACTGATACAATATGTAGGGGGAGGCATGCAAAACTCGCGACTGCGGTTCTGCTATGCTGCACACACGCATACACACATAGACACGCACACACACGATACACGCTCGATTCCCTCGCACTGGGCCGCGTTTAAATAAAAGTCCGTTAGAGCCCGGAAGAAAAAGACCTTTTGCTACATTAGTGCATGTACTTGTATTGTACGAATGTATGTGCTGCAGAATGTAACAACACAATCAGCTACCCCCCAGTACACACACGCATATATATACGTAAAAGTACGTTCTGCACCCGTCAATTATTTCGGCCACGGCGAAGTTCTTTTTTTTAAATTGTTTCTCTTCGTTTCGAACATTCCTTCGAATTTGTATAAATACATTCACTCGAAGCGTTCAGGTATTCTTCTTTCTCGAATCGTTTGTAGCGCTGTCCAAATTACTTGGGGATTGCCATAATACACTTTTGGGAAACAATGCGCGGAGCGCGCGCGATGCTTGCAGCGAGGAAAAACCAGTTGGCCCGCTGAGCGTGCGAATGCGTATCGTGTCTGCGTGTGTGTGTGTGTGTGCGTGCTGTCGCGAAAAACCCGTGTCTGCGCGCCAAAAAAGTGTCGTCCTTTATATGCATCTCGAATTACATCTTCCTTTCCTCGGCTATCTTCGTTTGTTTTTCGTCCAAATCGAGTAAAACAGAGGAGCAGCTTTACATTACCCGCGCATCATCGGCAGGTCTCGCGTAAAAAGCACACGCGAATATATGAGCGACGGTGTGTGTGCGCAGAGGCTCGTGGTCGCACACGAGCGAGCGGCAAAGCACGATATTCCTTTCCCTACGTATCTATACGTCCCATATACAGTACCTACATCGTCGTCGTCGTCGCGCATTTACTCGCACATCCTGTATAATATACGTAGTACTTCGCGAACGGCAATACAGCGGCACGCATACATATACATACGATGCGAGTGCTAAAAAGCCAAGAGAGAGAGAGCGAGGGTCTCCCCTTGCACGATACGACTTGCCTACAATATATATAGATATAGGTAGTCGCCGTACGTGCAGTGCACATCTGCCTGCCGCGCGCGCGCTCCGTATTTCTATGTATATAGGTATACAACATACAAAATAATTCCAAGTGCGCCGCACGACGACGAGCTTGTACAGCGCGCTCAACGGCAGGGCGCCTTCAGTACGGAGAAAACCGCCGCACGGTACACGCTCGCTCGCGCGCACCCCCCCACCACCTCCTCGACGGAATCATCACCATCAACCTCGTCGCCGCCGTCATTCTCGCGCGGCCGGAGCGATATACACGAGCGCGCCAGAGTTTTCTCTCGCTCCGACAGTGTGCAGTTTGTTTTTCCACACGACACAACAGTGCTACTATTACAAGTCAGTGTCTCTCGGTTTTTGTTTTCCAGTCAGTGCTCCTTTTGTTTTGATTTGTTTTTTCGTGCCGATACACGAGTTAGTGCGTTAAATGAGTGATCTGTGCGTAACCCGATCGGTCGACCGATCATAATGTGCCGCAAGTATCCGAGCAGCGGAGAAAAAGTGAATAGCATTAACGAGCCCAGCAACGACGGCGAGCTACCGCGAGTCCCAGTGACGATCGGCCGTCGTCATCGCCTTCATCATCTCGTGCAGGAGGACCCAGAGCCAAACGTCAACTACTACTCGCTCGAGCAGCCATCCTGGCAGACGACCTACGTTAGCAGTGTTACGATCCTCCTAGTCAGCAAGTGAAACGATTCACAGTCAAGCACAGAAATTTTCATACCACTTTAATCTCTCGCTGCAGCTTCGAAATTTATTATTGTTGCGATTCGACGACTTTTTGTTTTTACCCGATTGCAAGAGCTGGACGAGAGCTCGAGTGAAGAATTATATACTTATTTTAATAAGATAACAGTAAAGTACACACAAATACCAAAGAAACAATGGAGAACCAAATGAGACAGGACCCGAACCAGTCGCACTGCTACACGAACCCGTCGTTCTGCCGGCAATCCGAGTACATAGCGAACGATAACGACCTGCCACCGCCTCCGCAATTTCAAGTGAGATATACATATTTTATTTATATATTTGCTTCTCTCTCGCGTTGTTTCTTTTTGATCGATGATTTGCCGCTGCCACTGCTGCCGATGCAGGCGCGTGCTCAAACGTGTAATGTATTGGAATATATATGAGGGCTCCGTCATTGAACGCCCCGCCAGGTGGTCGCATGTGCGGCCTGTCTTTTGCACATAGGTATTTTTATACGTGTGTGCGTCTGTATAGATGTACACAAGGAGCGATGAGCAGCTGACACGCGCTTTTGCGCGGCAAAAATCTACGCACTTTCGCCCGTTAGAGAAATAAAATAATATAAAGCGCTGCCTTGAAATCTCTCCGAGAACCAATCTCGTTTTCAGCATTTTCTTTCTTTTTTCTTTTCATTTTCTCTCTCTCACTCTCGTTGATCAAAGCAATTATAAGACGTGACATGGCTAATCATCGGACGCGCGCGGAGCACCGGTCGTCATCGGGCAACGAGTTTCCGATCTCGCGCGAGCGATAAGTAAAAAAGAGTGCAGTGGCAGCAGCCAATGCCTTGCTCCGACTCAAGTTGAATTATACATAGTTATATAGTGAACAAAACATCCCATAATCGATTCAATGATAAATACCTATACTTAGATAAAAAAGAAAGGGAAACATATTCATTCATGCGTTTCTGCCACTGCTGCCGCCGCCACCACCACGGCTGCGTTTCGTAACGGTTTTTTCTCTGTTCAAAGGCACTGTATATATAGGTAGGGTATACGTTGACAAGTAAAAATAAGGGGTGCCCAGTGCGGCGTCCGAGAGGCAGGGGATGACTATATACTTATGTGCTTACACATACATACACACACACGTGTATGCTAGACGCGCATTGCTTGTGTATATGTAGCGCACGAGCCGCTTTTACTCTCACCGATCTAATGCTTGAATCCTTATACATACAACGATCCATGCCGTTATGTAGTAGATTTTAAAATGTGTTAAGGGTCACGGGCGCGAGCCAGCTGTCAATTTTCTTGGGGAATGCTTAATTTTAATGAATGGTATTATGTCAAAAAGCCGATAAGCTATATATAGACAAAGACGAGAAGAGAAAATCTTGTATTATTTTTATTTTTTTTCCTCCGTGTACCTATTTCAATGCTGTAACGCGTAACAAATAAGGGGGAATCATGGGGGACGATGTGTCGCGCGCGCGCGGGCGGCAGACTGGCACGCGGGGATCGTGAGAAAAGTTGATAAAGCACGCGACATGCTTATGATATTCGGAGCATCGAAGCCCAGGTGCTGCTCCGTGTATTACTTTACAGGCTGTACATAAGTTTCTAATCGTAAAGTACACACGAGCGTTGTTTACTTTGTGACATCTCGATTCTAATTCAAGCGAAATGAAATACATAGTCGTGCATAGTAGCACACATATACAGGGTCTTTCCGTGTTTTGGTGTGACAGACGAAATTCGTATCATTGTTTTGACGATCCGCGCGCACGTTTGGAGTAAAAATTCACGCGTGCAACGTGTCAAAAGTATTCGGAGTGACGTTTCAAAAAAATTGCCTTTTTTCTCTCTTTCTTCGATGTCGACGCGCCGGGAGCACTCGTCATCGTGTGTGCATGTGCACGCGCGCTCGCATTAGTCACTTGTTCGAACAACAATGAAAACTCGAATTCGTTTGTCGTTGCACTTATGGCTCTCTCTCTCGAAGAAAGATGGAGCGAGAGACAAGTTGTTTCATCCGTCTCACGCCTACGCGTTACATTTATCGGCTGAATTTCGTCGCGTCCGAAGAACCACTTTACGAGATCTCTCGACGGCTCGTTGTTTACGATCGTAATGAGTTGAATGACATCCTTGTGCTCGAAGTGAAGAAAAAAAAGTACACGAGCTGCGTCGACGCGTTGCATGAACTCGACACAAAATGCCAATCAAAGAATGTTCTTTCTCGCTTTATCGATCGATCGATGATTCGCACAAGTCTTGCAATCGATCGTATTAAACGCGCATACGAACGATGAAAAAATGTACGAAATGTCACGCGCATTGATTCGAATATGTCATCTGCAACCCACACGTACATAAACTTTGAACAAGAGCAACTTTCCAATACGCTACACGTTCTATAATCTAAAATCAAAAGTAAAACGCCCCCGCACATAATATATTTCTATTTGAATTTGGTATTAGCATTTATGTATGCATAAGTGATTACAATCTTGGCTATGTTTAAATAGGTGGATGACTTGCCGCCGCCGCCAGATGTGCACGACAGTCCGATGCCGGCCAACAAGAGCCTGGTAGCCCAACCTCAGCCACAGTACGGCCAAACGAATCCCGCCTTCGTGCCCAACAGTCCGGAAAACGATCATCATCATCAGCCGCCACAGCATCAGACACAGCAGCCACAGGAACATCATACGTCCTTACAGCTGCAGCAGCAGCAACAACTACTGCAACAACTGCAACAGCAGCAGCATCTTCAACAGCAACAACAGCAGCATCAGCATCAGCAACAATTGCGCCACAACAGCGTAGCGAACCTGAACCAGACGAGCCATGCCGCGATCGATCGCTACTGCTACATCGACGAGGCCGAGCCGAGTCCGGCCGAGCTCGGCGTCTCCTCGCACAAACGCTTCGGCAGTCTGCCGCCGAATCGGCTGCGTTACTACAACAACAATCGTCCCCTGGCAGCCGATCGCTACGAGTACATCCAGGACGAGACGCCACCCGCACCCGCACAGCAACAACCCCGCATCGTCCAGGCCAACAACAGTACGGCGGGCAGATACGCCTTCGTCGAGCAGCAGCAGCTCCAGCAGAGATCGGCGACAACCACCATACAGAGGACGGCCTCGGTGAGGTCGTACAGGACGGCGGCCGACGCCAGGTACGCCAGCATGCAGGCGCCCGACGGCGCCGAGGCCAGTCCCGTGCGACAGCCCTGGCACGAGATGGACGAGAAGTTCGGCAACGCTTCGAGGAGACAGATCAGCACACCTAGAGGTAATTGCTCGCGCACACACACATACGTATACGTAAGCGATACATCGATGATAAATTACATCTCTTTCCACGCGAGGGCAATTGCACACACACACAGCTCAGCTGAGCTGCGCCGCGGCGGCTGCATTGGGGGCCCGTTCCCACGATCGATAGCGAAAAAAAAGTGTTATAAGAACGTACCCACACACACACACATGCAGCACACACATACCCATACTACGTCTACCTGCCGTCATATATAATAATCAGCGCGTCATTCACTTTCTGCCTCACGCGAAACCTCGCGCGCGCGTTTTGTTGCGATCCCCGACTCGCGAGAGCGAGCTGAGCTGCGCCAGAAGAGTGAGTGAGAGGAGCGAGCCGACGAGAGATAATAACACGGCGAGCCGCGGCGCGCACTCTTTTTTACTTATATACGCAAACTCTATAACACGTACCTTATGCACACCATGCGATGCACCATCTCGCGAGACTGCTTTGTCATAATTTCCTCGTGTACGTAATAATATTTTAATTGCACTAAAAAAAATTAAATGAAAAAAAATTCCAGGACGATACACGAGCATACCGCTGCAAGACGACGATCCACCGCCGAGCCTGCCGGAGCGCAACAATGCCGCCGATCTGCAGCTGGTCGCCTCGCCGCCGCGCGGCAGCGGCTCCAACAATCTCGCCACGCAGAAGCTCCACGAGATACTGACTACGCCGAGGAAGCCGAGGACACCGCGCGGCGGACCGGCCACCGACCCGATGCTCATGCAGTCGCCGAGGCAGCAGCAGGTCCCGGTGCACCAGCCCACGACGCCTCGCGGTGCCTTCACGCCCGGCTGCTCGCCCTCGTCGGCGGCGGCCCACCGGGCGATGAGCGCCTCGCGACAGCAGCTCCAGATGCAGAGCGGCGGCAACACTCCGCTGTCGCCCGGTCGACGAGGTCCCGGTAGCCTGGGTGGCCCGCAGATGACCTCCACGCCCAACAAGGATCACACGCCCTCGGCGCGTCGCTGTCTGCCGCTCAACGCCGAGACGCCCTACGGCAGATCGCCGGTGACTCGTCAGCAGCAGCAACAGCTGCAGCAACAGACGCCGGTGAGCAACGGCGCGGTGAGATACCACGGCGAGGGCCTCAGCGACGAGGTCATCTATGGGGACAGGAAGAAACAGGCTTCGGGATTCTATCAGAGCGTCGAGAGCGCCTTCATCGCCCGAACAGCGGTAGTGAGTCTTTGCTTAAGACGTGTTTTGACGTGAAAAATCGGCACGCTTGCTAGAGGACTTTTTTGTAATTTTCACTATTTGCTTTTTCAGGTACCACCTTTGTCACCACCAACGAGCGAAGCCAATACGACACTCGTTAGCGCGACCGAAAAGGCCGATCGCAAGAATGCACCTTTGATACTCTTCTTAGTCGGAGTACTGACGTGCGGTTTGAGCATTTACCTGTCATATGCTCAGGGAAGGAGGTACGTGTTAATTTTAATTGTCAATGAACTTTTTTCAAAACATTTGCACGGATCACGATATGCTAATTTTTCGAATTGCTAAACACTTGAATTTTGTACAGTCATCGATTACTATTGTTCAACAATAAAGATAACATACATTTATGCGGTCGTTACCGCTTGTATCTCGAAAACAGATGCTCGGCGTGCTCGCGCGCTCACGTCAACATCAATTAAAAAGCCCGTCACCATCATTACCGGCGATCAGTATATGCAATCGTTTAACACCTGTCCTCTTTTTTCAATTCCAGGTACTACTTCGACAGCGCCATAAGCTGCGGCGCCTGCTGTGCCGTGGCCGGCGCGTGCCGCAGCATGCGTCGCACCTGGACGGGACTCGGCCTTGCCGGTCTCTCGGCGCTCAGCTGCGCCGGCCTGTTGCTACTGGCCGCCAAGGCCCCCCGCCCCGGCACACCTCTGCACGATGTCACGGCCGGGGCGCTCTGCGGCGTCTCGGTCCTCGGCGCAGTCTTGGCGCTGCTCGCGCTCATCTCACCCAGATGCACCTTCGGCAGACATCGACGAGTACATTCCTGGATACCGAGATTCTCGCCCTGATTCTCCGGGAGCTGCATTCCAAACTCGATCTAATTTCATCATTATCATTATTACTATTTTTTACCTGATTCAAAAGTCTTGAGCTTTGCGAGCTTGCCGCATTCCTTTCCGTATAGCATACGAATCGCCGGCGCGTATCGTCGGTTTTACTCTCGATGGTACTTGCTACAGCTGTGCTTTAGCAAGCACTATCGAAGATGGAAAACAAATGTACACCGATGTTTGAGTGAAATTGTAATTAAGAGTTACTGGAAGATATCTAAACTATCTTTTCTAATAACTTTTAAAGAAAATTATGCGAGTGTTAGAAATTTAAAAAAAAAACTACCGAAAATATAACACGTTAAAATTAAAATTTCAGTTCCATAAATCCTTTAGACTTTTGATTTGAATTTACAAAATTTATAATTTGATTATAATATTTTTCAGTTGCGTCCGTGAAACTTTGTACCAAGATCAATGAAAACGGATTAAATAACAAAAGTAAACAATTTTATATTTTTCGACGATCAAATCAGTGTCAAAAATGCAGTTAATTAAACCAAATTTGTAACTGATATTTTATAATTAATTTTTAATTGACATATGATTAAAAATGATTTATACTTTTTTACAGTAAAAAAAACGATATTGTACAGCTTAATTATAATAAATAAATTATATTTATCAACAATGGTAAAACAAATAAAAATATATGTAATTATATAAGCAATACTTCCTCATGTAATGTGATACATATTAGTATCACAGTTTACTGATGGTTGCTGATAAATAAATGCCCAAAATGGGTCAATTTAATTTTCTTTTTAAATTTTCACGTTGCTCGATTTTTTATAAATATAAAAACTAATAAATGAAGATTGTCGTAGGTACTTTTTTGTAAAGTATAAAAAGTCTGAAGATAAGAATGAATATTCTTTAATTCCATTGAGTAAACAAATTTTATACACATTTTTACAACTTTGTACACTATACAATGTTTTTATAATAAAAAGTACATGATTTCAGCAAACGATAGCATTATACAAAGAATTCATTTTATGTGTCATGGTATATAATACAATGAGTTTCAATGTTTACTTATGATCAATTTCAATACATCAAGCATTTTCTTTTCCTCGTGTATCAAGTCTTACTCTCTGTCGTCAATCTACCTTTGTAACTGAGTTTTCAACAGTTTTTCTCTGTTGACTGTTTTCAGGATTCCTCAGCAATTTTGTTTTCAACGGAATTGTATCAACCAAATGATGATATGATTATCTTTGGATGCGACCAATTTGTATATTAAAGTTATAATTAATTTCATGATTAAATGAATGACCCATTTCTGATAATATAGCGTCAATCCTAATGTACACTGATATCCTGCAAATAAAAATCATTGTTTATTTTTATTTCAATTTATACAGATAAGAATATTAAGTTATACTCAATTCTATGCAATAAATTGGCAAATTTTAAGCTCATATTTTATCATTAAACTTACAAAAATAATTTACTTTTGACAAGGCAGTTTCTTTTTCATTTTTTTTTTTTTTTTTTTTACAAATAAAAAGCTGTTCATATTAAAAATACAATAAAGCACTGAAAAGCATCAGACAAAGCTAAAAAGAGCATAAGATATGCAAGAAAAACAAATTAAAAGGATAAAACTTTTGTTCATAGTATAGCAATAAGTTATTTTGATTTAAAGATAAAAACTACTTGAAAAATCCTCATTTAATACTCACACATGAATTAGGTTCATAAACCCATGATTGCCTTCAGTTGCCAACTATGATTATAATATTTAATTATTATTTTCTGATTTATTGAGTGATTTCAATAAATCTGCATACTGCTGCATATTTGTTTCAAAGGCCTCAAGTTGTTTCGTCAAATCGCCTACTTGTTCTGCCACTGTCTGCTCTTCACTAAATGCTTGCAATTGTGGTGCACATTGACAATCTTTATAAAAAGTTGCTAAATCAGTTTCAACGCTATTCTGAGTATTGAAGGGCATCTCAATTGTTTTGGGGCACTCATGATGCACAACAATAAATCCATCGCAGGCACTTGTCATTGTAATACTGTTCCTAGAGTTCCTCCTAGAGTTATTAGACGAATAACATTTTATAGTTGTATTTTCATTTGAAAGTGGACTGTTTCCATTTCCAGAATCAGCAACGTAACCAGATGTATTTGAATTAACTGTTGGAACAATTGTGCTAGGACTAGGTGATGGTGTTTGAGGATGTATTAATAATGAACTAAAAGGTATATCAAGATCTGCATCATCACTGATCTTCATTATGTGAGTGCTATCAGCAAAAGCTCCTTGTTTAATTATAGTAGTATCTCTTGACATTTTAGAATTATCATGTGTTTTTTGATATCGTGCATGTTTAGGACTTAAATCTGTGTGAAAGTGATCACTTTTCAACATAATCGAATCTCTACCAGTTTGCGTTGGAGATATAGTCATTTTAGTTCTATACGACACTGACAACTGTATCATACCCACTGGTGTAGGCACCTGTCCAACCGTAAGATGCTTATAATTATCACCTAGATTGAGAACTTGAGGTTCGCCCATGAATATCCGATAACATATTATGTAGGAGTCTGCTCCTTGTCTTCGACTCAACTTGTAGGCAGGAGTAGTTCTTGAAATACTCAAGAGTGACTTCAACAGCATACTCATTCTATTGTAAATTGTATGAGTGACCCTGACATTGTGATCACAACGATCTGGAAAAACGCCAAGATTCCACATTTCCAGTACCATTCTGTCACCCTCGGCCGTTTTGAGAGATATTTCCACGCACAATGGAAGAGATGACGAAACGATGTCCTCGCATAGTGCTTTCTTTGCCTCCATGTAAACTTCAGGAATGTCTTGTATTGCCAGATTGAACCAATCTGTTCCCAACGGTTTGCACTTCACGTCCACTTTTTGCCCAAGACGAGACTGGACAATTATTTGAGCGCATTTTAGCGCGAGAAATTTTGTGAATTTCTCAAGGTCGCGTCTGTCGTGCATACTTAGTTTATTAGAAGACATTTAAAACTCAATTTCGAGCAGAAGAAAAAAAATTGATCAACCCGTCATCGCACATACGAAATTACTAAGGTTATGGATGTTGCCAAATGCACATATTGCATTATGACGTTTAGCACTGTCCCCCTCTGGCTTCGAGTGCGAGAATTTGCTCATAGATGGCGGGGAATTTTTTTGGTGCTGCGCGATTGGGAATACAACGGCCAGACGCTTCGAATAAAAAACAAATATAGATAATGACAGCTACGTTGTCGACTGACGCATACATGCTATATACTTGCACACTGCGTCAGAATATCGAGTGACGACTGCGTGTGCGACGTAGACGACGTGCGAGCATAATGCTTAGATTAGAATTGCAGCGAATGTATTTATACACATTGATAATGAAAATTAGACGTTGGAAATGTGTAAATGATTCGAGGTGAAAGTAACAAAATTATACTGTTTTATGTGTAAATATTTCAAAGTTAGCTATTGACAATAAAATTATTCACAATTAAGCATTCACACAAAAGTACAATTGTCTTGATAAATATCCAAGTTAAAACTCTATGAAAACTATGGTGTACAAAATTTTACAGTATTTAAAATAACGAGATTCTTTTTATTCCTTAGAAATGAAATTTTCAAATTTAAAAAAAATTCTTTATCAATCAAATGAGAGCATCCTTTAAAAAAATCTGATTCAATGCTTTCAATAAAATTTAAAATTTAAAAACTGGTTGAAGTATGGCAAAAAGTGTTTGTACACTCCAAGCTTTACCAAGAAGCTGCAGTCGTCTTGTTTTTTGAAGATTTGCATCCGTGTAATGAATAGGAAAACCAAATATTTCTTCGAGCTCGGTTACCCAAAGAGAATCTTTTTTACCATCCATTAGCACTGGTTTTATATTTTCTTTTGCTGTAAATAAATTAGGTAAAAGTAGGGTAAAAATAGGTACATTATTAACATTATATCTAATTTAAAAGTTAAGCATATTTACTTTGATTGAGTGAGTTTGATCTTGTTGTGACAGTCGCAATTTTTTTCACCAAAGCCTGACGATTACATTCTTTTCTTAAACAATCTTGTAATTTAACATCATTCAATTCGTATGGTCCCCATGGTAAATTACCCCAAAAAAGTCTTGGTCTATGCTGTGCTGAGAAATCTGCTGAATCAAGTAATTTAGGCTCTCTTTTTAAATTTCTAAAAAATATAAGTGCAATAAGTATCATGAATAAGTATATAATTAAAATTAAAATTATCTTAATACTTGCTTGCTGATTTTAGTTCTATATATTTTTGGCATTGATGCAACATTTTCAAAAAGCCAAAACAAATGACGCTTTTTATTATGCTTTTCAACAAGTTTTTTTATTCTCACATACTCATAAAAAAGTACACCAGTTCCTTCAGGATCTAATAAAAAAGTTTTTTAATTTAAAAAAAGAAAGTTAAAAAATTTTGAGTGCTATAATATATTTTACTTTACCATCTAGTCCTCTCCTTTTTGGATTAGCTAAACTCAATTCATTGCATGGAGATCCTCCAATCAATAAATCAATGGGAGCTATCTTTTTAATCATGTTCTCATCTATATCTCTGACATCTCCTAATTGAATGATTTTCTTACCATGATTAAAATAACTAACTTTCATTGAATCAGGGTCGATCTCACTAGCATAATAACAATCAATGTTGACATTTAATTTTTTTAAAACTTGTAGACCTAAAAAAAATATTTAATATTAAAAAATAAGACAATTCTATTTTGAATTAAACGTACTTGTGATTTTACATACCGGTTCCAATACCATCAAATAAAGATAATACTCTAATTTTTGTATCTTTATTGATGTGCTGAAAATTTGTTTGTTTATCATCATTACAATTAGAATTATATATTGAAAACAATCTTTTTCTCCAATTTTTTCGCATTTTCATAATACTATTTTCAAGTTGACTTGAATCACAAAGATAACAATTCCATGGTTGTTTCAGTAAAATTTCATCAGCGCAGTCTGGACTTATAATTAGCTTGATACATGCTGTACAAAAAACTCTGTAATCCATTATAGAAGAATTCAATTTGACTTAAAAGCCAACAAAGTTTTGTAACATATTTTGATAAATGCAGATATTAATACCTTGGACAGCTTATATTGTCGCAAACTGCAACAACGTCATCACAACCACAAAGAGTACAATAAAACTGAAAAAATGTTTCATAAAAATCATTATACATTTAATTTTGAATCTTAAATTTTCTATTTCAAATTGCAAACATACACATTTTCCATCGTTTCCATAAGCAAACATTTTCGGTTCAAATTGTTCCTAAAAATAAAAGATGTCTATGAATTTAAATTAACACAGAAAAAAATACCAAAGTTATAATTTAATCTAAATAAAAAATACCATGCATGGGTCACATAAAAAAGCCTTGAAAAATGGGTGCTTCTCTAAATGTATGTTATCTTCAAAGCAAATCATACATAACGAATCTAAAGATAGTTTACATTCTATTGCCAGTTTTATATTACCTTAATTTAAAAAATATTATCATTTAATTGTTAACCAATAAAAAAGTTTGATGTACTAATTTTACATACTTGATTTCAATATTTGTTGTTTTCTTTCACCGCTATCAGGGTGGTCGTTGATTTGTATTTTTAATTGTTTTTTAATTGTTTCAGAAAATAGATTTTCTTCATTAGGTTCTATTAAGCGTTCTTCTATTAATTTTTTTTCTTTTTTAGATTTAAGGAAAATATTTATCACATCATCAATTTTCCAAGATTCTGATTGATAGTCTAATACTGCAGAATAGTCCTAAAAATATTTTAATTATTATAAATGTAGAAAATCGATATTATCATAACTTTGTCTAACAATGGGTTACTTTAGCTGCTTGCAAAACTGCTCTACAAAAAAGGTCATCTTTCATTTCTTGTATTTTTGCTGCCATTTTTTTTATTCCCGCAGGAAACATTAATATTTGACGATATTCAACCTAATAACATTTAAAAAATTTTAATTTACTAATTATGAATGAATTAAATTGATTGAAACTTACTTGAGAATATTTAAAATCACCATACCACATTACCCATTGATGCGCTATATTTGGCTGTTTTCTATTAAGATGCCGATAATCCATAATTACACCTGTTACATGAAACGAGTTTTAAATATACTACATTTGAAAATCAACGTACAATGAAACAATATAAATTACATGGCCAATAACTGTATCCAGGCCATTTGGCCCAAACGATCATTCCCGGTTTTTGATCCGCAATGTCGATACCACCTGGTCCGATGAATTCCGGTTTTTCGATTTTTTTTCTTTGAACATTTTTTACTTCTAATGTTTTATTGAGTCCTGAGAAAATCAATAGATTATACGAGCATAAAATATTTTTAAAAATAGGAAATTCACAACTGTATCGAGTTAAAACGTACGCTCATTTTCTTGCTCTTTGAGATACTGCTGAGTTTTGCGGTAATTTAATTCTTTCAATTCGTTCAATTTCTCAATAACATCATCGGGATATGGGTCGAAAATCAGCTGATTTACTGAATGATCAATGAAATATGATTGTTTTAAAACAACATTCGGTTTAACAAATAAATGATGAAAACTTACACTCATTTTTATGCGATAAAACGTTGCATTTTATCCATAAAGAAAATGGTTTCTGGAGAGGTCCACTAGAGAAACGCGATTTCAATAACTGCAAAAAGAATTTAAATGTTATTATTGGTTTTATAATTTTATTTAATTAATTATTTAAATTAAATTCCCATTACCTGTACAGTTCTGTAACAAACAAAATCTTTAAATTTTTTATCGCTATCCTTGACTTTTGGATTATTACTCAAGACATCAAATCTTGATACTATATCAGCCGAAAATAAATCGATGTGTTTTTCGGGTATCTGTAAACATTTAAATTAATTTATAATATTAAATTTTCTAAAATAGAAAAATGTAACATTTTTTTCTTACATTGGATATGAGTAGCTCGCCAATCCAGATGACCCAAACGTTTTTCGGCGTAGAAACCATGCCAGCGTCTTCCGCTCGAATTATTATCGCTAAAACAAAATGATAATTAAAAAAACTAATCGATCAAAATTACAATACAAATAACATACCAGGCCACCATACAGATCGGTAGTGAGCCCAAACCAATCTCCCGGGAGTATAATCGATTTTTTTCAAAGATTTCCTGACATCATCAATTTGCTTCACGAACTGTCTCGTTATGCGACGCTCATCTTCAAAATTTTCATCTGTAATAACTGGTGACTTATTGTTACATACATTATCATTAGATAATCGAGATTTTTTTGCATATTTTTTTTTTGGTGGCTCTTGCGAATTTTGTGATACATCTCCTTTTTTCGACTCGGCCGATTCATTGATCTTAGAAGTATTATTCGTGCTAACTTTGCCCTCTGAATTTTTTTCCGGAAGTAATCCTTGATCCACATCATTCGCCGACTTTCTATCCAGACGATTTTGAATGAATTTCGAAACTCTTGACACCAAGTCGATTTCGTTTTCCCAATCAGTATCAAAGTGCAGTTGTTGATTCTGAGTTTTGTATTTGTTCAATCTCTCACCAAATCTTTGCAGCACAGACTCATCAGAAAATAAATTTGATTGATAAATTGATTGTTCGATCGTTCCTGGGTAATTGGGATTAACAACTTCATCGGAAGTGGTCGATACCGGTAAGTATTCATCAATATCCAAAATATGATTTGATTTATTTTCCGACAAAGATAACGGAGATGGGATCATTATCTCGTATAAATTTGTATCAATCTGCTCTTGTAACTGCTTCGAGTCAAAAGTGTCGACCTTATCGTTCGCTATATCATCGATTTTTTTATTTTCGGAAGCAGCCGAGATTTCACAGCCACATGATATTGACGACGGATCGATAGAATCGAGAGAATCAATACTGCGGTCAGCGCACAATCTCTGCCACAAGATCTCCGTCATCGATAAATTTTTTTTCCCGCTGAACATTGGCTCGATCAAAGTTTCATTCGACGTTTCCGTCAAATTCATTTTTTTCGGAGTCGAAGTAGCGACGATCGAGCTGGGATCGACGTTCAAATCATCGCGAAATACATCGTTCGTCGAGCCTAGCATTTCCAAGAAATCGTGCGTGGAATTAGCTTTGCGCTTGTTTGAGTACACGCGGCGCACGTCGTCCGTGCGGCTCAGCATCTCGCTCGGCGAATCTTTGAGTAACTCTTCCAGATCGGTGTCAACGTTATTGAGTTCCAATTTACTCAAATCCACAGCGGGACAGATGTTTTCGTCTGTTCGAGTGTAATCAGGATCGTCGAAAAATATCGACCCGATGACACCGCCGCTGCCGCCGTCGTCGTCTATTTTGGCGCGACGCGACGACGATTCTTCTTGGATTTCGACGAAACTCTGTACTTCGAGTTCGGAGTAAGAAGGCTGATCGTCACATTCCATCGATGGCGTCGACGTAGCATCATCGTTTACGAACAAATCATTCGCTATCATCTCCATCCACACGTTGCTCTTCCAATAATTTCCAATGCCTTGACTTGTCTGTAACATACATAAAAAAACAAAAGTATAATCATTTTGATTCGACATTCTAATTCGTTGCTTTCGACTGTCATGTGCGCAAGATACTTATTTGATTCGCGAGAAATTCAAAAAAACAAAACATCGAGTTACGCGACCGATACAATGCGCTGTGCTAGCATGTAAATAAACTGACTGTTTCGAGCATTGCACTGGGCAGGTTCCTGGTAATTTCTAAATAAACTTTAGTTTTTTGTGTTCATCTTATTATGAAGCTAATTTTGATTATAATAAAGATGAAATGATAAAAAATGAAATTATTTACAGTACAGGTTCTCGGGTTCGGCTTACAGAATTACGGAGCGAGAATCGTATGATGTAGAATAAATTACTTACCGTGGTGGAGCCCATTATTCCAGCGAATTTGTAAATTTCGATGAATAAAAAATTGGCAGATTGACTCTTAGAAGTTGTTTGTTCCTTTTTTTATAAAAAATCAATAGTCTTCTTTACTGGATTAGGAAATATTAATCTTCGACTCACTCAATTCTTTAAGATCTTTTGGCTTATTCACTTATTATCCTTTGCCTAAATTACAATTCATTCAATTCACATGCATTTGTTCAACTCCTTTTCGAACAAAATGAACACAAGTATCATTCGACACGCGCTAAATACTCCAACACGCTTCGCGACAATGAGGGCAAGTGTGTTACAATCGTGATGAAAAAAGGCGAATCGAAACACAAATGCGACGATGGTCTCGATGATTGAGAAAATGCGCTCGCGCCGCCGATGCAGCCTGTCAAAAATCTCAAATCTGTGCGTCTACGGAGTACGGACTACGGAGTATTTATACGGAGAGAGCTGAAATATTTGACTGTGCAGCAGGTGAAGCGCTGCGATCGCTTTTCGCAGTTGTGTTTTCGATACGAAAGGGCAAAAACTTCGGAGGCTGAAACAATGACAAAACTTGATTTGAAATAAGAAAATTGAATGTATTTTTTTCTTTCATTACAATTAGTAATATTATTAAATAATATTCATGAGTTACTACAGCAGACTTATATCACGTATTGTATACAAATCGCACATTTACCATGCAATCTTTTTATCTGAATCTTAAACTTTCAAAGAACTTTGAAACAACTGCGCGCGAGGATAAATCCACGCGGGCAACGAACGAACCAATGACGACAGGAGTCGCAGGAAAAAGCGCGCCTCTCTCGATTAACCTATGAGTGAATCTTTGTCTCCTCGCATAACGTGTGTTGTTTACATGGTACAAAATAAAGGCAGGAGGCGGCATACCTCAGCATACGAATGCCGGTATGATACTTATTGCATCTTTACGATTGTACTCTTTTAATTTCAACTGCTATCTTGTGTAGTAATTGTTTTAAGGAGTTTTGTGGCTAATAGTACTTTGGGCAATCGCGCGCTTTTTAATTCTTAATCTTGGGTGTCGAATGTCAATAGACGTGAGTGTGTGTCAAATTATTCATCCTTGCAATTTTCGACATGCAAGATAAATCAATTAAATTTGCTTCTTAAGTTGGTCAAAAATTATAATAATGCAGTTTTGTTGATAATTCATATAATAATGTTTGAATAATCATCCCTTGAAAGCAAATAAATGTTCGTCAAACAAACTCCGTGTCGGTAAAAACGCCGCTTCGTTTTAACGCCGCCTCTTTGCTTTTGCTCCAAAAATTAATGCATGATCGTTTGCCAAATTCTTTAGACATTCAAATAAATTACTTTATGAATAAGTTCCAGATGCCAGAGAAAAGAATTGATCGGTCAGATTTTTACGATTGATGGTGAACTCCGAAAACTGGACGTTTATGAATGTGGATACTATGCTGTTTATTACATTATCCCCACCGCTGCTCTGACACGACCGTCCACTTTTTGAATTCGTACGTTACAATACAAAAGGAGAGCAGTACATTTTTCGTTGCCGATGCAGCATACACAAATACTAAAAATTTGGAGTTCTAATGGCTTGAATTCTTTAACTGGAAGTATGTGGTTAGTACTTTTTTTAATAATATATATCGTTTCGTTCAAATTTTTCTCGATATCTGTCGAGCGGGTTTTTTTTGTCATCAGTGTCATTCCATGTCTCATTTTGATTCATTTTTGTAGGTGAAACATGCAAGTTTCGAGATAATTTTTGTTCAATGATTGAAATAATCAAAGGCCAAAAAATGCCTAATGTCAAACTGTGATTGTCAACAAGTGAAATTTTTTTTATAAAATTAAAGGACTAGTAATAACAATAAGTGTCATTCAAAATGGATGTGTGGGAAAAAATCATTGTGCAGTGGATAAACAGCCTCCAAGAAGATCCTGCTGATCACATTCAATCATGTGACGAATTAGAAGATGGCACAATTTATTACAGATTAATAAACAGAATCAAGCCTTGGGATTGCAATAAGTACAATGGTGACAGCAAAAAATCTATGATCATGCAATTTTTAAATCATGAATATCCTAATATTACATTTATTATTCATGATAAAGAATTTGAAATGTTTACCATTGCCATTTTAGTGCTCTCGAGATTGTCTTTAGAAACAGTTTTTCATACATCATTGTGTTCCAATATGCAGAGTGATGCACAAGTTAAAGTGAAATCTATTTTAGAGTCTGTGTATGATTTGGGGAAAAAAATTACTCTGGATGATGTGCAATCACTATTTCTAAATACTGATAAGAGTACTTACATCGAAACTCCAAATCACGTATTAAAAGAATTTTTAAATTCTCCTGTACCTCAAACAGTTTCGAAAGATAATAAAATATTTGATCAAGCAAGACAGTTACGACATTTGCGAGCAGATATTGAAACACTACGTTATGAAAAATCTGAACTTATAGAAGACTTAAAAATACAAGATCGAAAAGTGAATGAATTGCAGCTCAAATTGCAAGAAGCATTGGTTGAAATCAAATCATTGCGAGATGATTCGTTGAAAAGTAATGATACGAGTTTCAGTAGCCCTAATAAAATAAGTGGTTCAAAATCTAACGAAGTGATGTATGCAAAAGAATTACATAGTTTAGAAAAATACGTGGCTGATCTTCAAGAAGAAAACAATCAATTGTTAAAAGAAAAGAGTAAATTAGAAGCTGAATGTCAGAAATATAAATCCAAATATCAAGTGGTAAAAGAAAAAAATAAAACTAATGAACATGTCATAGAGTCTGTACTTCAGCAAATTGAAAAAAAAGAAGATGAATTGACTGATTTGAATTATAGATACGAGGAACTTCGTTTGCATTTTAAACAAAAACCAAGACTCTCTCAAAATTATAATGAACATAGTTTTGAATCCAGGGATATTTCTCGTTTAGGTGAAGTTTCACTTGACAAAAGTGAGATTCTTAGTTCTGTTGTAGAAGTTCAATTACAGGATACTAAAAAAGAACTCATACATACACAAAATAAGTATAAAGAATTGGACAAAGCTTTGACAGTTACTTTTGAAGAATATACAAAATTTATGACAAAATATAATATTATGGAAGAAAATTATATTGAAATGAAAAACTTATATGATACAAAGTGTGCTATAAAAAGAGATGATCAATTCACTCAAACTATTCTTGAAAATCAAGAACAGTACACTCAAACTGAGATTATTCAAAATGATGTATTTTCACAAACTGAAATTGTATGCAAAGAAAGTTCTGCACAAACAGAAAGTATTTTGAATCAAGAACAACACACCCAGACAGATAAAACTATTATTCATGATAGAGATTCACAAACAGATACTTCAACAATTGGGAATAGAGAACAATATATACAAACAGATAATTCTACTATAAAGAATAAGCAACAGTCTATTCAAACAATTTGTTCAACTATTCAAAACAAAGATCAATATATGCAAACAGACAAAAAGAGTATTGAAAGTAAAGAGCAACAAACAGATACTCTGAAACTTGAATCACAAGACATTCAAACTAACTGTTCATTCTTTGAAAATAAAGAGCAGCAGGTGCAAACAGATTATCTAGAATTGAAGGTGCAACATACTCAAACAATGATTGAAGTAGAAGAACAATGTGTACAAACTGACAGTTCAACAATAGAAAATAAAGTACAAAATACTCAAACTGATTGTATTGAAACTGAAATGAAGGGCAATCAAACAGATTTACCTAATATTCAAGAACAGTACGTTCAAACTATTACTTCAACAATTGAAAATAAAGAACAATGTATACAAACGAATCCAACTGAAACACAAGAACAATCTATGCAAACATATAGCTCTACGATTGAAAATAAAGAACAATTTATACAAACGAATCTAACTGAAACACAAGAACAATCTATGCAAACGTACAGCTCTACAATTGAAAATAAAGAACAATTTATACAAACGAATTTAACTGAAACACAAGAACAGTCTATGCAAACATATAGCTCTACGATTGAAAATAAAGAACAGATGATACAAACTCATAGCTCAACTGTAGAAAATCAAGAACAAAGTATTCAAACAGATTGTGTGTCAGTTGAAGTGCAGCAGACTCAAACAAGTACAATACAGATACATGAACAAAGTATGCAAACTGATAGTTCTACAATAGAAAACAAGGAACAAATGATACAAACTCTTAGCTCAACCATAGAAAATCAAGAACAATCAATGCAAACAGACTGTGTATCAGTTGAAATGCAATACACTCAAACAAGCACTATAGAGATGCACGAACAGTTAATACAAACTGATAGTTCTACTATAGAAAACAAAGAGCAGATGATACAAACGTATTGTTCAACAATTGAAAATCAAGAACAGTCTATGCAAACAGAAAAAGTTGAAATGGGAAATCAAATCATTCAAACTGAAAATTTACCTGTTGAAACACAAACTACACAAACAGAATTGATAAGTAATATTGAATTTTCTACTCAAACTGAACACAAAAGTGAAGAGCAGCACACTCAAACAGAAAATAATAATGTTAAAGTAAAGATTGAATATAGTTCTGATGATAAGGAAATGCAGAAGTCAGTAGATCTTAAAAATAATATTATTGTTCTTAACAGCGATTCAACACTAGAACAATACACTGAAAAATTATCTGATCTGTTCAAAATATTATTCCAAGATCTAAAGAATAACTTGAACAAGACTTGTGCTGTTTACAAACTGCATGACAATGATTCATCAAATGCTGAATTATTTACTTTATCAGAATTAAAAGATTCCAATATGATACATGTTGTTGTCAATAATATTTTTGAAAGCAAATTGAAACTTTTGGAAAATTTGAAAATTATTAATTCAACACCATTAAAAGAAAATGATGTCAATTTAATGCAAGTGGCATGGAAATCTACGTTTGAGTCCATTAATGAAAATTTGAAAACTCATAAAGTATCACTATTGCTGGAAAAATCATTTTCATTATTTGAAGAAAAGAGTAACTGTTTAATGCAGAGTAATAGTAGCATCCTATCAGAAGTTGAAGAATTTTTCTTAAAAAGAAGTGAGCTGAGCACTGAAATTAAAAAATGTAATTTGGAAGGTTTACAAACTTTATCAGTTAAACTAGCTTTAACTGTACAATTTGTATCAATAATGAGTCAACTTAATAATTCAAATATGACTGAATCTGAGAACTTCAAAGAATTCATGACAACTATGAATAATTTCCAGACAATTTACAATAAATGGAACGAAGAGCATTCTTGTAAAATTAAACAAATTACGAATCTCATCAATAAACTAATAGTTATGTATAGATTAGCTGAGTCTTGTGAGTATAAATTAAAATCTTTTATAAAACAAGAAAGTAAAAAGGTTGAAGTAGATTCAGTCAAAGTTGAAAAAGAAATTCTTGAAGTTCAGAAACATAGTGCTATTCTTGATGAAAAATTATTCAAACAAAAAGCTGATGAGTTGCTTACAAAGCAAAAGCAACAATTTGAAAACTACATGAGAGAAATGCATGAAAAGTACGAGCTTAAACTTGAAAAAATGAAAGATAAGATGAAAACTGTTTACAACAGTCAGATAGCTGCTTTGAAAAAAGAACAAGAGCAACTATCAACAAATGAACTCAAATCTCTGCAGGCCAAGATTGAACAGCAATGTTACAACCACACAGAGGAATTGAAGAAGTACAAAAAACACATCAGTGAACTGACTACTCAATTGTGGGACGTGGGAGAAAAACTCATCATTGAAAAACAGAAAAAAGAAGAATTTATGAGTAAATTAAAAGAAACAAAAATTAAGTATGAAAATTTAGAAATTGCTAGCAAAAGAAACACTCCAGATGAAAATTTCAAACATCCACCTTTGCGGCAAGATTCAAGAACACTTTCAATGAACTCCATTGAAAATATACCGCCAAATAGAATTCACTTTGTTAAAGATTTTCAGATTATGGGAAATGCCTTCAAAACTGAGGATGAAGAAGGGGAAATATTTGATCCAATATATTTAACAGAAATGCAAAGAAATCAAACGGAATTTCCTTTGTCCGATCCTGATCGCCTGTCGGTATTGCAAATGAGAAACGCTAAATGTAAACCTCATTTGAAGTCATCTTACGCTACGGAAATGCTCAACAACCCCGTAGGTTTGACGGAAGACGAAATTCGAACTGGTGCTACTGCAGATGAGATTTTCAATGATAGCTGGAGCCATAGCCTACTAACAGGAAAAAAGGTGAAGAAAAAGGACAGAACGAGAAATGGTTCTGACACTCCGAGACAAAGTCGTCGATTTAGCAATATCTTCCGTAAAGGTAGATTATCAACAGGTGGAAAATCATAAAAGACTAATTCTTCTGCACATTTGAAACTTCAAACAATTTTAAATGTACAGATTGGAATATCGTTCTCCGAGTTTTAGACATTACCCTTTTGAAAATTGTATCCGATTAACATCTTTTATTGTATTTTAAATTGTTAATGATTTATGCATAAAACAGTTATCTATAACAATTTTGAAATCTTGAAAAGAGTTAAAAATTTCTAATTTTACAACAAGAATTCTATATCATTGATGAGTTCAAATTAAGGAGTAATTGTAATTTTATATATAAAATAGTGCCGAATATAATAAAAACATGTAAATATGTAAATAAAATTTACAATGAATCTGATGAATAAGCATTGGCAACAATCGAAAATATTTTTAAAAAATTTCGCGGTAAGAATTTTACAATATTCTTATTTTATGATCTGACTATTTCTCGTACCAGCAAGAATAGCAAATAGTGATATGATTTGATCAAATAAGTGGCAATAAGATTATAATTAAGTTCCTAATTGAAGAAAATGTTTTTTTTCTTGACACGTGAGAATTTTAGTTCGTATTTCAAAAATAAAGTACTAAAAGCATAATTGTGTATATGATACTTTACATCGTAAACTTTTTTTACTGCGACGAAATGTTTAAATTGAACTTTTTTTACGATTTATTTTTTAATACTTTTAGTTTTTTCAAGACATTTTTTTCTAAGCGCGTTTATGCAGCATTGTACAAAAAATTGTTATAAAATAACGCAACGTTTTTAGAACTATAAGAAATTTTATAAAAATTTTACTTTGATGATAATAAATTTGGTAATAAAACAATTCGTTCTTTCTTTCTTTTAATTGATAAATAAACATTACAATGAAATTACAAATTTGAATGATTCAAATAAATCATTCTAAGTACATATTATGATTGTAAATACTAATTGATACGAAAGTCGAAAAATCGCGTTGATATAAAAAAACATGCTGAGTTACATACTATAAATATATAGACACATCTTAAATATTTCAGTTAAAAAAAGAAGAACTTGGCGTTCTTTTATATCGCCATATAGATGAAAAAAAATGCGAATAAAAAATCTCGATAGTGCAGTATTAAATTTTTCACAGCCCTGCAGCAGCGCAGTCAAAACACGAAATTCATCGTTACAAAATTTCTCTCAATAAAAGTTAATGGCGCACTTGAAAATTCAATCACAGCTTAAGCGTATGATATATAATGTTGAGAATATATAAAAATTTTATACATGATAATTGTGTATATGATAAATATATATAGCACATTGTCAATCGCCGCGCACAGCTCTTATATATTAAATATATAGAGCATCATCATCAACTCTATTACAGATAGCAGGCGCCTTGATTCTGGAGACACCACTCGGGCTCGAGGCTGTCGGCGAGTATACCTCGCTGGACGAGGCGCTCGCGGTGGCGCAGCATCCGCTGCTCCGCGTGGATCCACGTCGAGTCGGGATTCGTCCAGAGGCGCTCGGCCATGGCGGCCGAGCGTGGCCAGAGCCGAGAGTCCACCGACGTGCTGTCGACCTGCTCCGACCACAGAGTGGCTTCGGCTCCTGCGAATATATAATTAACGTATATTAATTTTTCGTCGATGCGAGTTAATTCGATACGATGAATTAAAAAAAAAACTCGCCTAAAACTAAGCTTTTGAAAGCCTCGCCGAAGCCTTGCTTCTCGATTATTTTCATCGGCGAGTTATCGTAGACCTTCTGCCAGCCCTTGTAAGGCGAGCACCAGTTATTGCCCTCGCCCACCCAAGCGCCAAATCTGAGCAAAAGAAACGAGTATAAATAGATCGTGAGTCGATGCACGACCAAGTGTCACTTTAATAATGCCGCTATGATATTCTTACCCGCAATCGAGGTAGAGAGCATCGTAATTGGAGAAAATGACTCGAAACTTGTTCCTGATCAATCGGCCGATCGTCGCGTCCGAGCCGGTCGTCCAGATCTGCACGATGTACTTGGACGGATCGAGCAGCTTGAGATTCTCCTCGTTGGTCAGGCCGCTGGTCCAGAGGATGGCGGGCAGCTCTCGGCCGGCGTTGGCCTTGGTCAGCTTGTCGTAGGCCTTGGCCTGGAAGTGCTCCCAGAGCCGATAGAAGCTCGACTCGCTCAGGTCCCAGCCGCGCTCCAGCATCCAGTCGCGGATTACCGGCGTCGAGTTCCAGCAGTTGATGTTGACCTCGTCGCCGCCCATGTGAAACAGGTCGGGCTCGAAGTCGCGCACCATGTCCGCGTAGATGCCCTCGAGTATCTCGTACACCCGTTCGCTCGTCGGATTCAACTGTCCGCAGGGCGGCTCCACGCAGTACCTCTGCCAGGGCTCGGCCTTGAAGCAGACCGTGGCGTTGTCGCCGACCCACTGCCAGCCCTCGCCCACGTGGGCCGGCGCGTCCAGCTCCGGCAGCACCCGGACGCCGCGCAGCAGGCCGAAGCGCACGATCTCCGCCACGTCCTGGGCCGTGTACACCTTGTCGGGCGTGTACGAGCCGTATCTGGACAGCTTGGGCCAGCTGCGGCTCACGTAGGGGAAGCTGTGCGAGTCGGTGATGTGCCAGTGGAACGTGTTGAGCTTGGACATGGCCATGGCCTCGATGGTGCGCAGTATCGCGGGCTTGTCCATGAAGTTGCGCGCCGTGTCGAGGAGTATGCCGCGATACGGGAAGGCCGGCGCGTCGCTGATGTACACGTCCCGGGCGATCTTCAGCTCGTCGTAGAGATCGTCGTAGACGATCAGCTGGGACAGCGTCTCCAGGCCGTGGCGCACGCCGAAGTAGCTTTCACCACCGATCTCGGCCACAAGCTGCGTAAGAGCCAATAGTTAGCGACGTTTTTTCAACCCCTTTTTTTCATTTTTCATTTTCTTCGTCATTTTATTCGTGATTATTATCGTTATTATTTTTATTACAAAATTACGCGCGTGCTCGCAGCTGTCTGATCGATGTACGCGAGCTATATAATAATCAATTTAGAAAGTAAAGCTACGTATAATTAACGATGCAAGAGACCACACTTTGAGAAAATATTTGTAAGGCTCCGAGATTGATCGATATTTCCTAATTGGCTTATCAAAACGATTGCTTGCTTCGTCAATAATAATTTAGAGGACGGAGTAAAGAGAAAGAGAGTCATAAAACACAAAGTGAAAACAACAAAATTATTTACAAAGTTAAATGGTAATTGACGAAATTTATAGTTTATCACGCGCACTCGGTTGTTTACGAATGAGTAATAATATTTCTTTCGATTAGTGAGATTTTAATGAAAAATGAAAATAAATGAAAAAAATCGGGGGATGTACTTTTCGAAAAACTCGAGTACCCGCAAACATGACTTGACTAGATCTCGATTTAAAATCGACGAATAAAACTCAAAAAATCATGTTCTCGCACAACCCCAATGTAAGTACCAGAAGTGAAACTTTATTTGTATTTTTTTCTGGGATTACATTTAGGTCGTATTTCCTTTTCGACATACCAAACGCGTTTATAGAAGTTTCGCTTCAAAAATACTGTACATTAATTAGGACGTATTATCGCTTTTTGAAGAGAGAGAAGTCTGAAAAAAAACTCACCCGTCCGGTATCCTCTTGCCGCACGCTCAGCGTATAGGCCTCCGAAGTATCGAGGGTCAATTTGACCTTCTCGCGATCGAAATCCCCCTTGATGCTGATCAGCAGCGGATAGCCGGGCTCTTTTTTTTGTTGCCGCTGCTGCTGCCTCGCGCTCGCGGCGCGCAGGGCATTCCTCTTGAGCCGGTCGACGTTAGCCTGCAGCAATTGACCCACGTCGCTGCGCAGGTCAACGCCCTGCCAGTCGATTCGGCTGCCGTCGAGCCGGGCGACGAAGTTGCCGAGGGACATGTGACCCGTGGGCCTGGGCCAGATGCCCGCCGACTCGCCGCAGAACAATTGACAGACGCCGAGGGCCAAGGGCTCGCCCGTCGTATTTGCCGTGATCTCGGCTTTTTTACAGTGGCCACCCTCGCAGTAAAAGTGCCATGGCGAGCTAAAAACATTTTCGGTTTTTTTTTTTTTTTTTTTTTTTGAGCGACATTAATACGATTTAGTCGTGGCGATTGTATATTTACATTATACGACGTGGGCAAGGTCGATACACTCGCTTTCGCCAACGCTCAATTACACATCCGATAAATTTGCATATTATACGTATTCTTAAGCGTGTGGATGCGTGTCTATGAGAGACTAGTCCCTTTGTACAAAAATCGCAGAATGACTGCAAAACACACAAGCCGCACGCTCTAACGGCATCTCGCAGCGCGCGATATTTGCTTTTCGACAGTCTCGATTGATTATTCAAGGTGCCATCGAGTATGAGAGGTGTGCGTTCTGTTCTGTTTGCACGCGCTGCACGTCGACGTCGACAACAACAACAGCAACAACAACAACAGCCGCATCGAAAGTCGGGCTCCGCGAATAAAAAAAAACCGCGCGTAAACAAATAATATAAAAATTAACGAGGAAATCCGAGTATTTCTCTAGCCAGGTGTAAAGATAAATTTGGCAAATTAACGAGTGTTTGAATAATGTCATCTTAACGTCAAATTTTTGCAATGCGCCGGCACGCGCTGTAAAAAAAGCTACCGGCCTTGATGTGTCGTCGTCTCTCGTATACATGCTTACGGAATCGGAAGATTTTCAAGTAATAAAAAAGCACCTTCGAGTTCGATACCTTATTCATTTTTTTTAAATAGCCACGAGGATCTGGTTTGTTTGAGTTAAAAATAATTAAGGGTCATTCACGCGGTACGTTGCACTTCTTACGTTTACCTTAGATCTTTATCGAGAATCGAATTACCCCATCGATTTCAGTTTTTGACATTGGAATAACAAATATGCAGAAATTCATAATTTTTCATAACATCAAAAGTACACTTCATTCATTCTAATATTGCTATTGACCCACAAAAACTAGCTTATCATTATATAAAAGCAGATATTTTTGCAGTGTTAGAATGAACTTTTATTTATCGACTACAAAGATTCCACGATGCTAATCGATACAGGAGGTATTAACGATTAAAGTGTACACTATTACAAAATTATTTGATTCTTCAATGACTATCATATGTTATTTGTTGAAATATACAATATGTAAACGTGAAATAAAGATAACGTGTTTTGACTATTTTTTGAAAAGTTCAAAATATCAATTTCCAATGCGAAATTGACATCATCTTCAAATGTGTAATAAGATATAAAATAATTGATTTTTAAGTTTTTCACCAGATCTACGCATAGATCATCGATATTATATTTCGTTCAGATCAATCGGTAGATAATTACTAAAGTAAGATCAATTGTTTTCGATAAGCTTTGATGCATTGAAATGTACATCCTTGTTTGCTTATTATTCATGAACTAGTCAAACCTTACAAAGTAAATGTTCTATCGAATTTGAGCAAAATAAAGAGTACCGATACAATCCTCGTTTCGAGATTCAATTATTGCGATAAAAAAATCTTGAAAAAAATAAGAAATCCAGCAAGAAGCCATATGCACTACTGACCTGAACTGGGGCTCGGCGGCGCCGGCGAGTATTCGCACGAGTACAGTGAGTATGAGCACGACCAACATGGCTGTTGTGGCCAGGCCGAGGACGAGGACGGATCTGGCGCGACAGGCGAAGCAGCGCTTGGCCGATACCCGCGGTAGCTTCGCGCCGCGGCCGATCAGGCTCGAGCACAGCAATCGTTTGATCTTCGTCTTCATTTGGGTGGGGAGGATAATACCGTGCCGCTCGTTCGGCTCACGGCTCGTAGCAGCAGCGGCAGCGGAGATCGGGCAGGTATCTCGTAAGCATTGGAATTCACGAAAATCTTGGCGTGCGAACCTCCTCCTTCTCCCTTTCTCGGCGGTAAAAACAGTACCCTTGGATCCGCGCCGAAAAGTTCAATAGCCCTGCCAAGATGCCCAGGGCTCTCACAATCACGCGAGATGCTGTAATTCGTGTTTTATATGTGTATACTATAATCATGCTCGAGCAACGTTCGAGAAAAATAACTCTTCTTCTCGATTTGCCGATTTTTACGAAGATCGGATACTTTCTCTTATCGATGTTATTCGGTTAGGCTTCGATTCTAAGTCTAGATAAAATAAATTCAAATTACGATCTTAATTCATTTTAATAAAAAGCGTGATTATAATTTTAAGAATTTGTGAGAAAATTATATTTATTCAATTAATTTGAGATGCTACGAAATTAATAGTTCTTGGTAAGAATAATTATTTTATTGATAGGCTGTTTATATGATAAGATTTCTTGTAATCAAAAATGAAATAATTTATACTGCGCTTTTTTACTGGTCAAGAAAATTGATGTAACCGAGGCATCTAATATAGGATGTTGTCTTTTATCATTACCAAATCAGATTATAAAAACTATAAGAAAGCTGCTTACGGGTAAAAGTAATTTGTAATTATTCATTCAATTGTTAAATAAAAAAATATACATAAACATAAGTAAAAATTTTTTTATTAAATTAAGGCTTTTAATTATATAGAAACATAATTTGAAATAAATACTGTAAAAAATGTCCTAGCTTGAATAATTATGAAATATTTAAGTTTGTAATCACAGTTATTTAATTCATGACTTGAGCTTACGCTAAAACATCAATCAATCTTTAAATAAAATAAAAATCCTTAGCAAAAACATTTCAGAAATGAAACTTTAGTAAGCCCAATTAGTATAAGTAATTTGTACCAATCAGCGATAGACTAAAAATATCTTAATTAACTTTTACACAGAGAAATAAATGTATACAACTACAAATATATCTTTGCTAAAATAAATTATTACATTATTCATCACCCCGTATTGCTCTGTATTTGGCTAGTTCATTAGGAAAAGTGCGGTTCAATTCACTCAGCATGTTACCCTTGAACTTTCTGTAGGCGTCAATCTTTCCTTTGACTTCTTCATTTTTGGTTAAAGCCTTATCGATGCAGTCTTTAGTGTACAATTGTGGATTTTTTCCTTGATCAATGTAACTGAAAAATTAAATCAATAAAATTAATAGTTTATTGAAGCATTTTCATCTTGTGATTGCTGGATTTTTAAATTTTGCTTTTATCAAATTGGGACATGGGTTTTCAATAACTTGAAGAATCAATTATTATAGGAATATGGTTTCTTTGAAGGTTTATAAATTTAAAATGATTGAAAGTTATTTATGATGAATTTTAATTTCAAGTGATCAAACAAAATTAAAGAATAGTAAACATTCACTTACTCAAAAACTTCCAGAGGCACATGAATATCTTGCACTTGTGATTTCAGTTTATCAATCTCTTGTAAGCCTGTCACCAGTCCTTGTCTGCAATAGTAATGAAAAAATTAATCTCATGCATGACTCGTAAAAAAAGGAGATTGATATGACAACAACTAGAAATTATGCAGCTGAACGTGTAATGATCGCAGCGTACGACGAAAGGTTTACTCACATTTTCTGATTCAAAACATTCTGTCCCTGAGGTTGAAAATCACTAACAATTATACGTATTTGACGAACATTTTCAATGAATAATTCTAGCTGAGATTCAAGATTTCCCAAAGGTGCAGCCATATTCTCAACGATGTTTATGGAATACTGTCAAAGAAGAAATCAGAAATAGGTAGAGCGTTAACTCGGTTTCATTGAAAAAGGTTATGTTGTGGGGCAACGCGTCGTGTCGACTACCAATGCTACCAGCAGCAGAAAAGTCTGAAGCCTGACTGGTACGCATTGCCGCGCACGAGCGCACGTCGCACGAAGCAGACGCGCAGCTTTAACAATTGTCCGCTAGGTTGACTAATGACTTCTTTATCGACACGGTTGACGTAGTCAACCTCGCAATTTGAAACCCCAACATGTGATAAAAAATAACAGTAAATATGTTTATTTGGTCATTTATGATCAAAAAGAAGTAAACAAAGAGTCTGAAATAAATAATATGTCTGAATAAATAATTTCAAACAAATTAAATGTCTGAAGTTTATTCTATTAGCATATAACTCTACCATTCATGGACAATTTTTTAACAATCATGTCATCGGCATGATACCATGCATTATTAATTGCAAATAAGTCATGCCTCTCGGTCAGCCGACAGTAACCACTGTGACATATATGAATCCTCATAATTGTTATAATTTATTAAATAAATGAGGAACATCTGAGCACCTAGAAAATAAAATATTTATATTTATTACATCTGTTTGTAAGAAATATCATCCGAAGTGTGCGACGTAATTGCTACCTACTTATTTGCGCGAGTGAGCAGATGATACATAAAATCTCGTACCGTTGTTCTAATTGATTCTCGCGACGGAGTCCTCTGTTTACGAAATCGGACGGACAATCGAGTACGTTCGATTTTTCAGCTCAGTTGTTGTCGTTCCGCGGGCAATCTCACTCACGAATACACCGACGACGATCGAAAATTGTCAGTGCGAGCATTATTTTTACGCGTCGATCTTTTTGTGTACGTAATACGCGCGAAGAGGTAAAAAAATGGAGAATTTCTTGGAGGATATGAAGAAGTTCGTGGGGAAACTCAAGGAGCACGGTCGAGAGCAAAGCAAAATGGCTTTGGTCGATCGTCAGCAGAACGAGCAGGTCTGCAAGGAGATGGACACGGTGCGCAAGCAGATGGCCGAGAGCGGGTTCAAGAGCAGCGAGATCTCGGTGATCTGCCGCAACTTCGCCAAGACCAACAATTTCCTGTACCGATGTGCAGCCATGCTCAAGCACGACTCCAAGTTTCACGCCTCGTGCTTCGAGTGGGCGGGCCACTGCCTCGCCTACGCCCAGCCCGGCTCTATGGAGCACGTGCTGGGTCTTCAGACGCGCGCCAAGCTGCACTATCACTGCGGCAACTGGGAGGAGTGCCGTCAGGACGCCGCCGACGCCCTAGACCTGATGGACAGCGGCAACATCTACGATCAGATGGGTACGACGATGAATACGCTGAGGCAGCTGCTGGTGCAGGTCGTGGGACGCTCCCTCGTGACTTATATTGGCAGCGCGAACAGAGATCGGAGCACGAATATGTGGCACGTTCTGAATCCCAGATTCCTGAAGCCTCAGCTGAAGCGGCCCAATGCGAACCATCCGTGTCTGAGCGATGGGGTCGAGCCGGCCTACAGCCCGGAGCGGGGTCGTCACCTCGTGGCCAAACGCGACATCGAGGTGGGCGAGATGATCCTGGTCGAGGACCTGGCCTGCGGCGTTCTCACGCAAAAAGCCGTGCACACCAAGTGCGCCCACTGCCTGGCCCAGGCCTGGGTCGGACCTGCCTGCGACAAATGCGTCAACGCCGTCTACTGCTCCAAGCAGTGCAAAACCGAGGCCTGGCGCGACTATCACTACATCGAGTGCGACCTCTTCCAAATGATGGACAGTGACAAGGAACGGGAACTCGCTGTGCCCGCCCTGAGGCTGCTCATAAAGTCCATCAGGAAAGAGGGACTGAAGCAAATCATCCAGATCGCCGACACCATCGATCGGAATAGAGGTTTGTGCAGCGTTCGTTACATGGTTCAGATTCGACATTTTTTCCTCGTATTTGTTCTAAAATTTCGGCATGTTTTAGGACATGTCGAAACGGACCGAGAGCTGTGATTGCAGATTTTCAAACGATAAGTTTCTCCCAGCTACATCTCAACGATGCAACCTTAAATGTATTTAGAAAAATTATTTATACCCGGTCAAGCGGTTCGATACTCATGATCAAATTTTTTTTCCATATTGTCACATCAAAAAACTAATATGCTAGTGTTTTCTCGTTTGAAGCCTTCTTTTTCGAGCTTGACAATCAGAAAGATAAAAATCGAGTATTTTTATGCTCGAGTTTTGTGATATATTTAAACGTTTGTAACTTATTAACGCTTTTATAAACTTAAATAAAAGTTCGGATTTTTGACGCCTGAAAATTCATAGAAGTTTTTAGAAACTTACGAAAGGTTATAAATTGCTTTTTTAATTCAAACCAAAAAAACAAAAAATTGGTAAAAGTTTTTAAAACTTTTTTAATTTGAAATAAAAGTCGGATTTTACATATTCAATTTCCATAGGATACCGAATAAAAATGTTTCGGACTTTCTCAAACAATGCGTGTGAATTTTTTTAGGACTGTCAGATTTGAAACAACCAAATTTTACTAAAAATATGCATTACTTTAACACTGCTAGTTGTCCTAAAAAACGTATTTTCGTTTAGAAAAGGGGGATTTCTCTTTAAAAACCTATTGCCACCATTCGAAAAAAAATTGAAAACATGTCTATTGATGTGAAAAATAAGGGTAAAATATTTTTGTTACGACTATCGAAACGCTTGACCAAAAATAATTCATTCAAAATTTCAATAATTTATTTTTCAAAGGCTGTGAGGATAGAAAAAAATTTGAAGTTGTTTGCATTTTTAAAATGTACCTTCATGAATTTTTTTAGATCTTTTGAGAGAAAATTACACAGATTCAATACCGATATAAATCAAACGTTCATGCAAATTCCGTAACCACAACTATCGGGGCCTTGTTAAAAAAATTTAGAATCTGACCCATATGTAAGTTCCGTGAAATTCGATTTGCTCATTTTCTTTTTTAATACTTGAACACATCACAGAATCGTTTCACAAGAAGCTTCCGATGTCATCCGAGTACGCAGAGACACCGGAAACCAAATATTGTTTTACCGATTTCGGTTTGATTTACGGTTTGCTGGATCGAGCCAACTACGACGAAAAGTTCGAACGTTGTATTAAAAAAATTAGAGATAGTATGGACGTTGAACAAGAGAAGCGATCGGAGGATTACATGGAGACCGATGAATTGCCAGATCAACAGTACGACCTTCCCGTGGACGTTGAAAACGAGAAGCGATCGGAGGATCACATGGGGACCGATGAATTGCCAGATCAACAGTACGACCTTGTACTCAAGAACGTGCTGAGGAAATGTAAGAGCAACGATATTGACAAGGACACTATGAGGGCGATTAGGAGGATTTTCAAAAAGTTAAAGTTGATTTTCCATGTCAATCATAGTTATGTATGTGTAATTTAAAAATGCCCAAATGCAAGGTGTTCGTTCGGTTGTTCTACAATTAAATCGTTTTCCATTTATAGTTCGGTTGGGTGCCCGATAGAAAGTCTATTAAGACAACTACTTTAGATATCAACAGTTTCGCTCTCTCTTATTACTCCTCCTTGCTCAATCACTCTTGCTTCCATAATTGTATGATGTCCATCGGAAAAGGCGGGAAATTGATAGTCTACGCGCTCTATCCGATAAAACAAAACGAGCAGGTACATTTACCATCAATGCTTCGCTCTTATTTTTCGGTCCTTAAATCTCGCTCACACTCTAATTGACATGACTCTTTTCTCGTTGCACATAGATTACGATAAGTTACATGAGTAAGGTGACCTGGAATATGGATGCGACTATAAGGAAGCTCAACTTGGCCTTGCAGAAAAGTTTCTTCTGCCGCTGCCAGGGTTGCGTCGAAGGTTGGTCGATCTCGGATGGTCAGGTGAGTTTTAAGTCGACTTCGATCCAGCAGCTATGCACTGTGAATTCCTCTCGCAATAAAACGATTCGTGTCTTTTTTTTTATTTCCATTTTCGGTAGCTGAGTGGTCCCATTAACTCTACCGTGTGCCCCCGAATTCTCGCTCAGGCAGAGCTGGGCCTGTACGCGGAGAATGGCAACACTTGGTACTTGACCAGGCAGCAAATTGACGCTCTTAAAGACATCATCAAGGACTGCTTTGAAGATCTGAAGGAAACCTCTCCAATGATAGCCCTCAAATTAGCGGATGTTTACATAAGATGCCTGATTCAGGCTTACCACTTGATGTACGGAGTCGAATGCGCAGCACCGGAAGAGTGTCACTCTTTACCAATTGTAGTTGTGCGTTAATCGTTATGCGAATATCATTTTGTAAACTTTTAAAAACTTTAATTTTATTTACGTACACTCAGACCGCACCAGGTTAAGCTGGCTGTACTCAGACAATATCGTAATGGGGCTGTAATACCGGTTATGAAAAATTGGATACATTGCGACAATACATTTCATTTTTACTGAGAAAGTAAATTTGATTTAAAGTTTGAATTATCGTTCAAATTTCAATGATTGAAAATTTTTTCAAAAGTTTAAGAGCCATATTTTGAAAAATTAGATACTTTGAACCAGAAAGATTTGTAGCGATTAAATAAATAAAAACAGATTTATTAAAGTAATAGAAAGAGCTGTGTTTTATCATAAATTACGTAACATAAATTATTCTAGTTTATTAGCTCGCACAAACGTTCATCGTCACTCATGTATTCAGTCAATTTGCGACAAGCATCGAACAGCAAATTTAATTTGTCTGCCTTATATAGATCATTGACAAAAAATTCTAACTGCGTCCTTACTAAAATGTTAACCATATGCTTTTTGACGATGATCATTTGCTACTTCTGCGAAACAGCGCCAATCCGAATTCGACTAATGCACAGGGATCAACACCTCTGCACAAAATGTGCAAGCACGTAGACTTCGATTCTATCGGCACAATCGCTAGGTTTTTCGTGATCTGCGATGAAGTCCAGCAGACGGTTCGGGTGGACAAGAGGGGTCGGATGCCGCGACAGAAAGAAAAACTACTCTCTTACACGGATTACTTCGAGCTCGTGCATCATTACAGAGTCTGGATGCAGCATTACGAGACTTGCATTTTGCATCTGTGCGAAAAACTGTCGAGAGGATTTTTTCGACGCTCGGCACTGGATCTTTTCAGGGAATTGGTAGGCTATCGGCTGTCGATCGAGTGCTGCGAATCGATCATGGAAAAACTGAACAACCAAGAATTTTGCAATATCTACTTGGCGGCTGCAGACCAAGCCTCGCGATAACGATAAATTTATTTTTAGTTCTTTTTATGTCGTGTAATATTCATTGTTCCTTTGACACAATAGAGAATTATTTTCCAGAAATATTCCATCGTAATATTATCAATCTCCTAATGATTGTATTTTATTAAAAACGAAAAAAAAAATTATTCATGAATCCCAAAAAAGCAAGTCCATGTAAATAAACACTTTCACGGTCGAGTAGCGATTCATCATTGATCGTCCGCGATAAATCTAGTTTTTTTTGTATAAACATGCGTATAACACAAACGAAATTAAACAAAGGGGGCTTTTATTATTATGTACCAGGCGACCTTAAGAAAAATTTTGGTAAAGATGCGTCATCCAGAGCTGAAGTCATGGTCTTCTCGTCAATGCAATTGGTTCCAATTTTGAATTACAAAACACGCAGGTTACAACTGGATTCTTTGATCGTTTGTTATGTTCTACTTGAAAGAAGTTAAAAAGTTATAATGGGAAGAGGTTAAAAATCAATTACACTTTGTGATTTTTCATAGCGACGCATTGCATATTTATTTCGCATCATATCTATCTAATCACATTTAGTTCACCACAATACACGACGTGACACTTAAGATAGTAAATATTTTTGTTTAAAACGAGAAATAGTCGTAGTCGTATATCGATAATATGCAGCAGCGATCGATTAATTTTTAATTTTTTGCTTTCTTTTCTTGTTTTTTTTATTCGTGAATATTGTATTATTGTGATTCTACCGTAACTGTAGTATATAAATTTCAGAGGTATAAATATAGCACATTCATCGAGTTTTTTGCTTATAACGCGTACCTACATACGCTCTACTTGTTTAATTCAAGGATACTTGGCAAGTTTCTTTTACCTCTATACTATTTGTTTTGTATTTATTCTTCTATTATTCTGTTTTCCTTTTCATTTATTTTTGACACATTACTTCGGTGTGTGCACTTAGAAGAATAAATTCACCAATTCAAATTATAGATATTACTTTAAAAACGCTGTCCAATATTTGACTGATTCTAAATTTCAGACAATCTCACAAATGAAACGTACATAATAAAATTATTAACAAATTTGAGAATATATTTATATGACAGATATGATAATACTCATTAGATATGCTTATTTCCATAATAAAAGAGTGACTTTTTAGTGATTCTTAATATTATTACAATCTATGACTACGTAAAATTGAAAAGTTCAGATGACTCCAGACATTATAAACGTATTTTTTTTTTAGAAAAAATCATACAATAAAAATATTCAGAAAAGCTTTCCAATTTATCACTAACACATTAAAAAAGGAATAAGTATTCCAATAATACATCTACAGTAACACTCATAAACAAATATAAAAATTGATAATAATAAGCGTTTAGTACATCTTTTAACTTAAAACTTATACAAATGATGATAAAATATTTTAGGTGATTTTATTGTTCTAAAAATACAGATTCTGTACATACAAGACTTTGCATATTCTATTATTATTAGTATTATTATTATTAATATATAATCAACTTTGTTCTTGGCCTATGAAGGTACTTCATTTCCACTAAAACAACTTTTTTAAAAAAGAGTTACATCGAAGGAGTCCAATTATTGCGTAAGACACTGATAAAAAACTCATCATTGCTATTTCGCTTAGATAGATGATTAAATTTCGATAACAGTTTTTCATCGCACAAATACTTAAAAAATAGCAAAACTCATGAAATAATTCGAAGTACGTACAGTATTGCTATAAATCGAAATCGTGAAAATTTCAACGTTCATGCACATGTTGGATATCTTTTTGTTTCATACTTTCGTAAAAAATCATTGTCATAATTTAGGCCTAGAAAATTGCTGGCAATGTATACGGTAAATATTTTCTAACAGTTTTCGGCAGATTCATGTTGGTATATTGATTGCTCGATCGACGATAATATCAAATTCAGCGAGTCAATCAAAAACAAATTTATTCCAATGCCTTCGATGCAAAACTTTTATATTTATTTCTTCCTTAAAATTATCATTATTAAGTTATTCGACAATTCATTACTGTACTTATATAAAAAATGTACAAGAAAATCTACATTAACATCTTGTTTACATGTATTTTGTTGAAGCGCACGATCGACGCACGATCGCGAGCAACAAAGTATATAAGCATTGGTTTTTTTATTGTATCGTAAACGTGTCTATGATTGCTACACAGAGTAAACATAATAATACAGAGAAATGGTATTCGTAATATCTTGTCCACGAGTTTAATCAAGATTATAATAAACAAACATTGAATCAATAAAAAGTCGAGAGGGGCTTTTTGCCAAAGAGATGCATCGTCGTTAAAAATTGAGCGACTCTAACAGTTAGAAGAAAAATACAATTTCAAGCGAATAATTGTACGAGTGTTTCATGATTCTTTTTTTCGTATCAATATTACATTCGAATACATAAATATTATTATTATATGTAATGCAATATACGCTATATAATAGGTGTATAAAAATCGTAGAAAAAGCGCGCGCTCAACGAGACTCGAATGTACTCGCTCAAGTAGTGTTTTTTTTGTGTGGTCGCAGAAATCGGAATTCATCAATTCGCTCCGTGGTTCTATCTCTTGTTTTTTATTATTATTTTTTTTTTCATCACGAACACAATACAATATACATCTAATCGCGCATATAAATATGGTTTGTAATATACGCTCTCAACGTGCAATAATACAATATAATAATAATTAATAAATAAAATATGAATATAACGTATAGATATTATTTTGTTCTTTTTTTATGTTTGTTAGACAAGCGTCTCCTATTACGTTTACAATATGTATATTAAAAATGGAGAACTGCGAGCGAGCGGCAAGCTGCTTTGGCCTGTCGTCGAGGCGCTCGCACTGTGTTCTCTTGACTCTTTTTCCTTTGCAATGGCTGCGACGACGACGAAGACAACGACGAAAAATAATAAAATAAAATAAAAAAAAGAAGATAAGATGTTTTTAGAGCTCTCTGCGCGATCTCTTTGCTCTGGGAACGGAAAACAAACCGAATCGATACACGTATATAAGAAAATCCTCGAGACGACTCGTTCTTGCTTGTTTCTCTCTCTCTTTTCTGCCATGCGTGCGCGCGTTGGCGAACTTATACAAGAGTTTTTGCTCTAAGACACGATGTTTTTCATCTCAAAAAACAAGTTGCGTGAGTATCATACGTCGATTAGAATTCGATGGTCGTGTTTTCTCTGTATTAATAAGGATCGGCCGTCGATCTCTCGATGCCACGTTGTTCGGGCTCCTCCACGTCGTCGTCGTCATCGTCGTCGAGATTGTCGCCCCTTCAATGACACGATCTCGCCCTGCGCTCGAAGCGACGCATCCGGCGACTCCACTCGTCGCGCCACTCGATCATGATCGAGCGCTCCGACACCGTCAAGCCGTCCCTGCTCATGCTGTCGCTCTCCATACCCAGCACCAGGTACGATCTGTGGATGAAAAAAAAAATCATTTCGTTAGGTTTTTTTTCTTACCTCGACTCTTACATTATACACCCACTCAACGTAAAATTTGCTCGGCAAACACTACGCAGTTTGAATTCGTAAGAAAAGAACTTTTAGATGTTGTTTTTAGCAGGCATGTGGGGATTTGCATCGGTGACAAATGTTTGCCATCATTTGTTCACGATGGTTAGTAACAGCGGCAGCAGCCTTGACGAATTTTATATTTTGAATGGAAGGAAAAAAAACACTGGTAAAATTTACTCACTGGTTGGGTTTGATCTTGGGACACCTGCAGGCAAGATCGGCCGACTGCACGTAGAGCGGAGTCGGTCCACGCACGATCCTCGAGTCTCGATTTCTCTTGTAGATCATCATGACGTTGACCGTGAATCTGACCCAGGAGTTGGCCGGGCCGCCCGAGACGGCCGACGGGCTATCTGCCACCTTCTTGAATCTGTCCGTGACTCGGATCAGCAGAGCTGTGGAGGAAATAAAATAAAATTGAGTAATCGAAAATGCGCTTAAATTGTTCTAAATGTCTTATACAAGTGGACGATTTGGCTATATTTAACTTTTAAGCACCATGTTTGTATGTGAAAGTGCAGGAGATAGCACTACGATCTATTCGCAGTTCGCGAAATGCTCGAAATCGGAGACTTATAAGCGGCTCGAATCAAACGGTCAATCGAACGAAGTCTGCCCGAGCATAGCCTTTCTTTCTTTCTCTCTCTCTCTCTCTCTCTCTCTCCCTCTTGCTTACGAGTAAATATATGTATAAGAATGAAAGACAGACGAAGAGCAGAATGCAAGATAGAAAGACTTTGGATGCTTCTGCGCCGGTTTTTTTTCATCTTCCTTTTTCTTCTTCTTCTTCTCCTCGGCTGAACTTTGCAGAGATCAGAGATGCCCACAATGCACAGACTCAAAAGCATGCCTTTCTATTATTATATCGGCAGAATGAACGATTGCGAGACCGAAAGAGAGAGAGAGAGAGAGAGAGAGAGAGAGAGAGAGAGAAAGAAAGATACGAGGTGCAGAAGAGCCTAATGCCCTCGAAAGCTCTTTTATGTAGCGTCTCGCGCGTCCGTCGATCAATTCTATCCGTTTCGTTCTCTCTCCGCATGTGCGTGTCCGTACCCTCGATACGTGTTTTTACCGATCAATGATCGACGACTACGACTACTCTCTTTCAATGCAGTACAACTTTTGTACAACTTTTGTAATTCGTTCATTGTAATAATTTGAATTTCGAATATTTGCTATAATTATGATTTCCTTTTATTTTCGACGCTATTTTCATACGTTTATCATTTCAGTATTCTTGTGTCGTCAAATCTGTTTTATTTTATTTTTAAAATTTTTTGTAATGAAATGGCAATTTTTTTTGTGTTTATACTCGGTTTTTCTGTCAATGTGTTCTTATCACCTGAGCCATGTGTTTAGTAAACATTTTTTAGCTGCCTCTTAATAAGTTTCAAAATTAGTGTTGATCTATAAACCTAAGCTGATTGTTCTGTTCTCTTAAGGGCTAACAGGGGGCTTAATTATTTATCATTTTTCAATTACAGTATTAGGCTGTAAAAGTAAAAAAAAAGTTTTTTTTCAATAACACAAATGATAACCCTTTTCAATAGCCTATTTGAAAGTATTTTGTCAAGTTAGATACTTAGAAAAAATTGAGTACAATAATAATGAGGGTATTGGTGCTCAATGCAAGCTATAGGCATATCTAAGCTACCTGTCGTAGAAATCCAAGAGCGAGCAACAATCTAATAAAGACTGTATGGTTTCATTTTGTTCAATAGCCAATTGGCCATGGTCGCAACCAAAAGCTAGCCATAAGATGAACTGTAGCTACTTGTACATATAGCAAAGTGAAATTAATTTATGGAAAATGATAAAAAATGAATACTAAATTCTAGAAAATTGTACACAGGAGTAGCTACAGTTCATCTTATGGCTAGCTTTTAGTTGCGACCATGGCCAATTGGCTATTGAATAAAATGAAACCATACAGTCTTTATTAGATTGTTGCTCGCTCTTGGATTTCTACGACAGGTAGCTTAGATATGCCTATAGCTTGCATTGAGCACCAATACCCTCATTATTATTGTACTCAATTGTTTCTAAGTATCTAACTTGACAAAATACTTTCAAATAGGCTATTGAAAAGGGTTATCATTTGTGTTATTGAAAAAAAACTTTTTTTTTACTTTTACAGCCTAATACTGTAATTGAAAAATGATAAATAATTAAGCCCCCTATTAGCCCTTAATCTGTTCTATTCTATTCTATTCTTTTCTGCTAGGATCGGCCAAGCGCAGCGCAAGTAAAACAGCTTCGCATAATTTTTTTTTTTTTCAAGAAAAAGAAGAACACCAACCGAGTTAAACGCAAACTTCAGTATATACAGATCGGGGCAAGAAACGCGGGTGCGCGCCTCGCGCAGTTACAATAAACATATCGACTTCTATAAATTTGCTTCGCACGCGCCCGCGCGCGAATCGGCAACGTGTGGTACATAAGCGAGGTTTTTCGTTCTCGTGTATAGCACGTGGTATTATACGGTCGGTGCTTCGATGCACGAGCCATTCCGCTACACAGGGGGGATACAGATATCCCATTTATTGCTGTGGAATTCCTTTAAACTAGATGCACCATCGGCACATATTTTTCATTCGTATACAGCACGAGCATAAGAAACGCATAATGTGTTTGTGTATTTACATAGAACACCACGGCGCGCACTGCGACGATATAAGTTCGCGTAAATATATTTCGCGCCTTATTCTTCCTCGCTCGCGCTTCTTTTTCACACTCGAGAGATGTTTATACCTACTCGAGGATTTGCGACTTTTTCTCTCTCTCCTTTTCTTTCCTCTTATTTTTCGTTGTATCTTTGTTTTCTTTCTCCCTCGATGTGTGTAAGTATAAATCTACATAGGTATAATGTGTGTGCGCCACGTGGCAGACATACACGCGTACACACCTACATAGATCGTATGTACAAGAAGCAAAAAGACTCACCGTAATCTCGCTTGCAGTATTTGTTAAGGTTCAGCCTTCGGGTGCTCGCTCTGCACTTGCCACATTGCTCTGTAACAAACAAAGAAACATCCAATTTTAGTCTATTTTTTATAGTTCAGAAGAAAATAAATTTTCTAGATAACTTTTCCTGATCATTTGCATTTATTTTTAACGAAATTGCTTATCATTAGGGTAGTTTCATCAAACAATGTACTTAAAAAAACAATGAAAGTGGATTTATTGGCGATCATTACATATATTACGAGTTGAATTCGATTGTTTGCGCGAACTGTTAATGCGTCATCTATAATTGATGATCTAAATAAAAATATGTCACTTCATTATAGGTAACCTCAGAGATTACAAAACACAACAAAGCAGTTGCTCGAGAAGCATCCTGTAAAATTATGCCGAAAGTGAAAATCCATCGTTATCGTGTTTTTATTTGTATTGCAGAAAATAGGAGGCGCCGTTCAAAAAAAAAACCGTGGAACATCAAAGCAAAGGAAAAGTAAGAGACAAAAATTGCAACGCAAATAGCTCGAACTCGTGGCCGTATCTCGAAACGGACCTACATCCATGTGCGCGGCACCGCGCGATGATTCACGAGCTGCCCGGCTCACCGAGCGTCGTCGTGTCTTATCTGCATCGGTTATGCTCTCGCCCGCGTGCCTATATCTGAACGTACACAGGCGCGCTCGCAATTGCTCTCGCTGCGCCCCGCAATGGTAGGTACAGTCGCATAGATTCCCAGCGAAACGCACACGACACGAGGCTAATGCACGATAATGGTCCGAATGACAAAATAAATTTCAAATATATATACGCATCAGTGTCTCGTATAATAGGTCGAAAATCACAGCCGAGGCGGGGGGTGCAAAAAGAAAAAGAGCATCGCTCGAGTTTTAGTGGATGTGTGTGTAGGTAGTACACGTGTATGTATAACTAGGTGCACAGCATATACCATGTGTATCTACATATAACACGGAAGGGCTTGGAACTGTACGGATAGGCCATGGCGAACAAATTGCATCTGCCAAGCTTCGGGTCGTGCACGCTTCGTTGCATTGCACACTGTACATACACACACGAGCGCGCTAGAGTCCGTACAGTATATAGCTACATACACAATCCAACGCAATGCAAGAGAATTAATCGAGCTGACCAGCTGGGGCTAGATAATGGAGACGGGGAGAGAGAGAGAGAGAGAGAGAGAGAGAGAGAGAGAGCGGTGTATGGGTATAGGGTATATGTGTGGGGAGGTGCAGAGGGAGAGCTGCATGCATGCACACACACACGTACACACATAACGTCTATCAATCCGTTATGGTTTATCGCTCTCTCTCTCGCTCTCTTTCTCTATCTCTCTCCTTCCACCCCGCGTGTCGACGCGGACATTTTTCCCTCCGTGATTTTTTTTCTCTTCTCTCTTTTTCGTTCGTTTCATTCGCTCGCTGTATACGTAGACACTATACGTGGTTGTTTTATTGTGCACATGCACACACACAAACACATATATACATACACTGTATTATATACGACAAGCTCGTTATTTGTTTGCAAGCCAAGCTCGACTAGTTGTCGATGTTAGACTTCAGCCTAGAGGAATAAAGGAAGGTATATAGCTAGATAGGCCGTGAACTTTTCTTTTTTTTTTTTACTTCTTTTCCGAGATTAAAAGTACTTTGCTTTCTTGTACGTCATTCTTTTGTTGATAACGTGGCCGATGTGTCTTGTGCATAATCTTTTCCTTCTGCGGCAAAATTATAAAAAATGTCATATGAATTTTTAACTTGATAAGAAATAATATATCAGCCCCATATATACTGGAAAAATGGCCTACATTCGGCGCGTGTAAGGTTGCAGCCTCGATTCAAACAGTATAAATATAACACTTCGCGCGTCGCCTAACTGCCTTATTGATCTTTAACTCGCATCGTACATGAAAAATACTATAAACGTTTTACACCCTGCAGTTTGGCGGACTTTCCGCTAATTATCGATTCCATGTACTTTATTGAAACTACAATAAATTAGGCAGCGTTTTATTAACGAGTGCTATCAACTGTAGCATTCATGCAGTACGCTGTTGCCAGCACACGCCTGGCTCGCGGATATAAATTATTAATACGAAAAAAGCTCGAACCTTTCGCGATTTTTCCGCTCGAACGAAACAAATCCTCTCTCTCTCTCTCTCTCTCTCTCTCTCTCACTCTTGCGCGCGTTGCGCGCACAGATAACAGCGTATATATTGTACATGCTTTGGCTCGATTTAATTTAGCCCGCAAGACATTCAGTTTTAATACGCTTATGTATGTATAATACACGCTGAATAAGCTCCTACAAGCGACGTTACATTTTCTCTTTTTACGTGTATGTATCATGCGCACGGATAAACATGAAGCAGCAGCAGAAGTAGCAGTGGTGGTGTCTCAAGCGAGAAAAATTATGCGTATGCCACGAAGAATAGAAGCTAAATGTATATAAATACGAGAGAGAAAAAGAACGAGAAAAATAAAGGAAGAATCACAAGCCATCGGGGGTTAGTAAATTATTTGTACCGGCTGTACCGGACACATACGACCCAACCTTGCGCGTGCGACTTCTGTTATAAGATCGAGCTGAAAACGTCTCTCGTTATTTTATCCGGCACAAGCATGTGTGAGTATGTGCTTGCTCCACACGGCGTATTCATACTTCTTCGATTTGTTTGCCCCGAAGGACTTTGGAGTGCTGTACGATGTATAGGTTGTACACGACTGAAAATTAATCACTTGTCGCGCGATTCGTATTACAAGCGAGGCACCGACTGCGGCATAATATGTGAGAAGGTGCAAAATTTAGTTTTTTTTGGTTCTCGTTTAAATGCCCTTTGGTGATCGGTTTAATGCAAGTGATATTGAATTAAATAGTCGAGTTATCGCTTTGAACATGAATACATGTGGTTTCCTTGCAACGATGAACAAAAACATTTCGATCGCCACAGAAAAGTTGCACAAAGAAACAAAGATCATTGTAAGAAAAGAGTCGTATACCTGTTCAAGTCGCAATTGCATTTTTCAACGAAAAATTAACACAAGCCTTTGAAAACGATTGTGCAATAAAATCACTGATCACTGATCCATCGTCACGAGAGTATCGTTCGCGGCGTTTTTTGCGTTTTTCTTCAACATCGTTATGTACTTGATGATGCAGATGGCAATTGCCATGAACATGAACTGGAAAACCGACTGGTAGACCATTTTTGGGAGGGAAATATAGACGAGGCTCGCGAGAAACGATCTGAAAAAACACCCACAAGATATCACGACGACGCCGAGGTTGGCTTTCTTTTAGCTGACACACGACCGCGGTCTTTTGGTGCGAAGCAGCAACTAAAGACGAACGAGTGCTCTATACACTGGGAAAACTCGCGATGGTCGCCTATGTACATTACTTTTCTCTCACGAGCATAAAGCAGTAGGTCAAACGATCGCCTCTATAACAACGACTATTACGTTCCATCAATATGAATGCATACATACCATATATAAAAGGGCCCGCAACTTTATCGCGCGTTACCACGACCTTGGCTGAATAAATAAAATGACCATTACCACCTTAAACTGATGAGTACACACGTGTGCGTGCGCGCCGAGGTCTGTGCGCCCCGTTTTGATGAGCTACTCGCGTGCGTGTGTTTGTCGACTTTTTATTGTACGAACGACACGAATTATCTATCACGATACACGAAATCGTTAATAAAACTACGACCCCATAGTTGTATGGAAATTAGCTTGCTCCATGAACAAATTGAACCGATTCGCGAGTACATAGAGCATCGAGTTTATTCGTCGGTTCTCGATTCGTACTGGCCATTTGCGTACATGCAATGCGTGCGTTATACATGATACGCACTCTGTGTAACGATGATCCATGCGAGCCATATGCGTTATACCCTGCAAAAAGGCCGGCAAAGTACCTTCCATACGCAACGATTCAATCAATTTGCCCAATCACCGCACACATACCTACGTGCGGTCGCTGAGCTGCGGTGTATATAGATTATATACCCATATACGTCGTCTGTAGCAGAGTCGTCCGCGACGACGATCTATTCCCCTTCGAACTGTACGGCACACACAGTTATATACTTTACCCATACACGTGCGATTCGGACCGTCGAGCTTTGGCTTTTAATTTTTACGCGCGATGTGCTTTTCCCGTATTGCATGCAGCTACGTCGCATTGTCAAAGAGAGAGAGGACTACTATGCGTACAGCGGTGGCATTTCGCGCATCAATTATTCGTGATTTCTCACGCCTTGGCTGCGACGGACCGAATCGGAGTCAGCCATCGATCTGCGCGTGTGTGCACAGCCCAAGAGCTGGAATGCTGCCGTGTATGCGAATCAAATTTATTTAGCCGAACTGTTCATGCGACACGACGAAATGCATCGAGGAAAATAAGCAGTAACGGGAGCACGAGCTTGCAAGTACGTTGGGTCCGAAGAGCCATTAACGCCGAATCAGTCAAAGTTTGAAATTAAGCTGAAATACGTCAAAGAGAAATCATACCCGAGCATCGAGACATGTGCTAAGGGTTCGTAATTGTCGAGTGAAGCGCTGTTTGGCCGCTATTACGTTCATCCTTTTTGAAAACATTTTGTTTGTTCCTTTCGTAAAATAAACTTATAAAAATGAGTTTACGTATGTGGATCATGCCTTAGCTTCGAAAGAAGCACTGTTTCTGAGCTCATACAATTTTCAAAAGTCGACAATCACGACCACCATACACGCCTGCAGTAGCCCCCAAAGCTCGGTCATTCCATATACACATACATATCTAGCCAAGCCGAGAGGATTTGAACCTGCACAACCCATTCGATCGCGATTTCGAGGATGACTATTAACGCTCGAACGAGCCGATAGCGCGTGCACTGCACATAGAGAGAGAAAGAGAGAGGGAGAGTGTACTCTCCGAACTATCCGGTCTGATTGACAAGCGAATCCTGAAACGTCCATTTTATGGTACGGGGCTGTGAAGCTTTCTACGCGCAAATGAGACATCGAATTTCAGTGGGTATATAA